TTGGTATTGGTTCTTTATCAGGATCTTGTTTAGGCCATCTCGGTGCTTTGTTGATTTTGACTTTGACTTTTAGTGCCGGCCTTCCTCCTCTGCTGTCCTCCTGTCCTCCGGGCTGCCTGGCCTGCCTTTCCAGCCTGTCTGCCTTCCCCTTTCTTATCAACCAAAGATCAGTCCGAGTTTCACTTTTGTTCTCCTCTTATCCTCCGTTTTATCCAATCTTGCCTTTGGCTTCATCTCCGTTTATCGTCGTTTATCGTTGCTGTTGTTGTTTCTGTTTGATATGCAAATGATTTTTAATTGTGTGCCCGCGCGCGGTCCATCTGCAGCCTTGTTAAGACTGAAGAAATCTCTATTTAAATGCTCATCGAAATGTCATTAAGCAGCTCCTTCCTCTCCTTTGGCTCGCTGCCTGCGCCCTCATCCTCATTGGAAGGCCACACAAGAGGCGTGTTGTATGAGTCAGAACCTAACCGACAGGAGAGCTTTGTTGAGGGAGCTTTTTTTCTGCTCTTTTGCGAAGCTCATCTTTATACCGTTCCAATTGTAGCACATGTTCTGCCAAAGTCTTGTATTCAATTGTAATTAGAGCAAATAAAGCAAACAGCAATCACTTTCTGTGGAGGCTTTTGGGGGTTTTGCCATTGGCAAGTCTGTGGGCGGAGCACCGCACCACATCAGTGTCTTAAGAGAACTCCGCCGCAAAGAGCGCCTCCAGCTACGCTTAAAAGAGAATAGAGCAGCAATAGGTAAGTAAAGAGAAAAAGCAAGGGAGCTCTCTTGACTGCAAATCTATTTGTATAGCAAGAGAGCTTTATAGAAAGAGAGCAATAGAGAGAGAGAGAGAGAGACTGTGTGCGATATTGACAACAACAAATGCCGCGTAATTAAGACTCGACGCTCTTTTCTATCCAATCGCCTGGGCAGGTGCAACTGTGCCCAGTTTTACAGCCACTGGGCGCGTTCAGCCATCAAGTTTCCTTCCAGGGACTTTTCCTATATATGAACGTGGCACTGTCATAAATCAAATCGTAGAGTGTGAAATTTTTCGCCATCTGGCTTGACTTCTTAAGGCCCGGCCGGGCCGGGCCGACTTCATTAATATTTTCTAGCCGCCACTAGCCGCATTTTGTGTGTGTGTGTGTGAGTGTGTGTGTGCCGATCGGGCCGGTCGCATTTTTAGCCATTTATGACTTAATTTCAATTACACGCATTTGGCCAAAAATATTTGTTGCCACTTTGCGGGTAATTAAAATGGCAACACGTGCACGGAGCCGCAACACCAGCGCAAAAATGCTCTTGACAGTCGAGTCGAACGAAGTGAATGATGCTGGGAAATGGAGCCGCTGCGTGGGGGGGGGGGAGGTCAAGGCGAAATGGAGTTATCATCCTATTTCGTTTGCTAATCAATATTATGGGAAAGAAACCTTATTCTGGGCTACAGAAACACAGCAAGGAACAGTGCCCCTACTCGTAAAATAACAAACATTTCCCAGCATAAATAATTGCACTGCAAACGGAGCTTGATTAATTGATAAAGCCAAAGTTAATCATGGCTGGCCCCCTGGCCATAATAATCACAATCGGTGCTTGAGGCATGGGTAGGCATATGACACACATTTGTTCCGTTCCTGTGCTCAATCTGTCCGAACTGTCCGATGGCGCACCTTGCGGCCCGTCGTCTCGCGAGTGGAAGGCTCCCAGCAAGGTGCAACGAGCTGACAGACCGACCGAACAACGCCCCAAGAAGCCCTGTACCTGTGCCTGTGCCTCTGCAGCGGCGGAGGCGGCATCGATTTTAGAAAGTCCACTGGGCATTAAAACGGTAAAGCCAGAGCCATTTCCTTTTGGCCACCAAACCAGCAGCGGCAGCAGCGGCAGCATCAGGAGCAGCAGCATCAGGAGCAGCAGGAGCAGGAGCAGGAAAAGCCCAGACTTGAAACTTGAAATCCAAAGCCTATATATAACTCGGTGGCATCGGTGGCAGCGGCAGCATAAATTTCATTGCAGACATTTGGCCTTTTATTAATTGTTTGACGGCGCCCGTGCCCATGACACCCCTTTCGCCCCCTACACCACGCTAAAGCGGCATCCAAGAACCCCCAAACAACAAACTGCAACTGCATTTTCCTCTCTCATGCCCCCGCTCTGGGCGTGATGAGAAATTTAATATTGGCAAACGGATAAAACCGCCAGATAATTATACATTTTGAGTGGCCAAAGCTGCAGCCTGGGCTCTGGCTCGGACTTTGGCTTCGACGTCTCTCCTTCTCCCCCTACCCCTCCACCAACCGATTCCAACTCCAGCTTCAGCTTTGGCTTTACAGTTCATGCGGCTCATGATAGTATAAGATTTCATTTCATTAAAGTGCATCACGACGGACGACGGACGGCAGGCAGGCGGAATCAATGAGCGGCGGGCAACATAGTTGTTGCCTTGCCCCACCACACTGCCTCCCTGCCACTGCCACCCAATCCCAAACCCAATCCTCATCCCATTCCCTGCCAGCTACCAGCCAGCCAGGCAGGCAGCCAGGCAGCAGCAGCAGCAGCATCTAACCCGACTCAACCTACCTTGCTTACTCGTACTTTTCTTCTTATTGGCAGATTACGACGGCGGGGTGGCCGGGCGGTAAGGCCTGGCCAACTTATAATCAAATCCGATAAAAAATTTCATTATTGCTCCACAGCAGCAGCGGCAGCCGAAGCGGCAGCAATATGCCCGACAAGAAAATAAAAGAAAAGAAAGGCTTTGGGGGGCCGAAGCCTTGGACACCCTTTTGTCAGATCGATAAAGAATATCCGATATGGCTGAGCTATGATAATGGCATTCAACTAGATTTACTGAGCTATTGGTTGGATGATTTTTAACCAGTAAAATACAGAAGAACAGAAGAGTAGAACAGAAGGTTTCTTAGTGTTCCTCGTTCCTCTGAGATTTATATTATTTATAATAGAAAATTATAGTTTTATGTATGTACCTCTTTTTGTTTAAATTTAAGGCTCTTAACCCAGACATATCCATCCTTTCTTCTGGGCGCACAAATCATGAATTTCATTGTAACAAAGTGTGATAAAGTGAAGTCAGCAAAATGAAAGTTCTCTGCCAGTGAAAGCCATAAAACAACTAACATTTGATGCAGAACTAAAAGACATTACCTTCTATTTGGTAGAACTGCTCTCTGGCATAGCCCACATACCCTTTGTGACGGCAGGGTATACGTATACTGGCAAGCAAGAGCCATAACTGTTTTACAGGTAATTTCGCTGTTGCTGGTATGATTGTTGCTGGCTGCACTTAATTTTCGCATGCGCACTGAAACCGAGCCGGACTCATGATCGCGATTTTTTGATCTTCCGTCTTTCCGTTCTGCCACCACATCCCCCGATGCCTCCCCGATGCCCCCCACAGACCACCCCTCCTGCTCCTGTTTCGTGTGCGGAATCCATTTTGTGTGCCCGGGAGCGCTTTGGTTCTCAGCCAACTGTGCACTGTGCTGGCCACTGGAGGTCAGCGCGGTGCAAAGGAATAGAAGAGCAGCCACACAGCATTTGATTCGAAATGGCAATCTCTGGCCTATCGCTGGGGCCACATAAATTGGGACGTGATTATGAAATAATTGCAATTCTGTACTTTGGACTTGCGCAACTCGCCACAGACCAGACCAGACCAGAGCAGACCAGGTCCAGAGCGGAGAAGACCAGACCAGACCAGAGCAGACCATAGCAGACCAGACCAGACAGAAGGCAATCAGTCGGCTCCGCTGGCATCCATTCCAGCACCTTGGGGAGCCCTGAAGCCCACTGCAGCGCTGGCGAGCTCTGCGGCAGGGAGCAGCACTTCAAACGGGAGCAAGTGACAGGCGACAGATGATTGCCAGCCAAAGAAATCAAAGGAAATCGCAGTGGGGAAAGCGGCATTCATTCATTAAATTTGAGCGAGGTGGGGTGGGGGAAACTGTTCGCGGTGCCATGACAAATTCCATGACAACACCTGATGGCCGAGCAAAGAACTCCCTCAACTCATTTGCATGTGGTGCCCGAGGCTGATGCTACCTGTGGCTTCTGCTGTTTCTGCTCCTGCTCCTGCTCCGGCTCCGACTCCTGCTTCTGCTTCTGCTCCTCTTTCAACATATGCAAATTAAATATAATTTCAACACTCGCATTTTTGTTGGTTCTTCTCTGGCCATGGCCCTGCCTTGCGGCCATAATTTACATGAGGTTAACACGCAAGCAAACAGCCACAAACAACAACAAGGAACCGGCCTTGATTATCTGCTGAAAATCGAATGCACGCACATGCCCCGGGATCGAAGAGAGAGATGGTGATGGGAGTGTGGGTAGAGGGGTAGGAGGTAGAGGCTGCAGCCGAAAAGGAAGTCAAGTCAGGCTTGAAAAGGCTGAAAGAAAGAAATTCTATTACAATGTTGAAATATTGCCAAATCATGGCTCCGAAGTAAATAAATTTCCACGCCACCGCTCACCATGACCGCCTGAACTTCTGTCGTTGATGCAGATGCAGATGGGGAGCTTGAGTTTGAGCCGAAGCTAAAGCTGAAGCTACAGCCAGATGGTGGCGCGACGGAGGCACAGGAGCAGGCCCAGCAGCTAAAGTCCCTGGCCGTGTATAAATAAGTAACCTGAGCTGCGCAACACGTTGCCTGACAGGGGCTCCAAAAACGGCACACAGCATCTCCGCCCCGCGCACCACAGCACAGCACCACGAGTCGGTTTGGATCGGATCGGATTGAATCGCGAAGGGAAGAACGCGGAGCGGCGGAACCCGTTTAGATGCAGCCGCAGAAGCAGCAGCAGAAGCTCTGTGTGTCTCGGAGCCCCCTCCACTCTCTGCGGCTTTGGGGCATTTTGATTTATAAGCGATTTATGCACTTTGCCGCTAAGGTGGGAGTCCTCCACTTGACCGAATTCATACGAGTGCCGTGCCTGCCTGACTGCCTGGACGCAGAGTTTTTTCTCCCATGTAGGAAAATATACAAATGTAATTTACATAGCCTCGTGGGGCATTGAATTTTGGGATTTACTTGGGCGCTGGGCGCATTCATTCATTCACATGATTCAATTGGAAAGCATTTGAAGTGTGTGTGTATACGTATTGTAAGGCAGGCGTCTAGTGCTCACATCTTATCACCGAGACACGGCCGACTTATCTCCCCAGCAGAGTCAACAGTGGGGGATGTTTATCTATACCGCAGCGGGTGCCTTGTTGGCAAAGTACCATAAAAGGCCCATCAGGCAGCTGGGCGGACTGTTGTTCACGGCTCCCTTCTGCAGCATGCGCTTGGCCTCGTCCAGGGACAGCTCCACGACCTCTATTATTTCATCGTCCACACCGCCGCCGCTGTTGGCCTTGTCGGCATCGCTTACTTCGCAGTAGTACATGGCCTGTTTGGCACCCGAGGAGCCCACACCAGATCTGCAAGGAGATGAAACGGAGATCATGAGTGGGATTCGCCTGTCGAATGTGTCACACCCACTACTCACCTATATACCATGACTTCTTCGATGCGCTCCACTGGCACATCGTAGCCGCACTCCTCGAGAACCTCCTCACGTGCAATTTCCACCCAGCTCTTCGACTTGTCCACAATACCAGCGCACAGCTCCAAGGTCACACCGATTGAGGGCGGAAATGACTGGAGGTCGACATTATCAAAGTTCCCCTGCTCACTAGTGATTACGCCGTGATACACCGCCGGCCGGAACTGACGCACCAGCACCAGCTTCTGTCGCGTTGTGTTGTACAAAATGATGGCCACGCTGTCGTGCACCTTGAGCAGGTCCCAGTTCTTCTCGACGCCATTCTGGATGTAGTACATGCGAAATGGCTTCACATAGGGGGAGTCAGCGGGCAGCGGTCCCAACCAGATCTTCGATACGTTTTCCATGGTGTTGAAATATATATTTTCCGGGAGACACAGCTGATGCCAGGCACCGACAAACAACAACAACAACGACTCAACATATGTCAGTTGCGAGCAAGCTTTATGACATTTAAATCCATACGGGGCATGGTCACACTGATATTTGAATGTCGTTACGAAGATTTTGGTGCTTTGTTGAGCAGAAACCACATTACGCCCACAAGCAGCGCTGGTCCGCCGTTTGTCCTATTGCCTGTTCGGACCAGCTGCCTGGCCTCATCCAGCGACAACTCCACGACCTGTATTACCTCCTTGTCTACGCCCCCGCCCGCGGACACTCTCTGTTCATCGCACACCTCGCAATAGAACAAAGCCTGTCCGCCGCTGGAAATACCCACGCCGGATCTGTACTGAAAAACCTTCTGTAGGCCGTCGGCGGGCACATCGTAACCGCATTCCTCGAGAATCTCTTCCCGTGCTATATCCTCCAGACTCTTGTCCTTGTCGACTTGGCCCGCGCACAGCTCCAGCGTGATTCCCATCTCTGGCGGGAACTTTTGCAGATCCACGTCACCCCTGGGTATTTTTGGCTGTTGGCAGCTCAGCCGACCTTGGTATACCGCAGCCCTAAATTGCCGTACAAAAATCAATTTATCCCTAGACTTGTTATATAGAACCACCAAGACACCGTCCAGTACTTTAACAACGTGCGTCTCCTTCTGTAGCTCGTTTTCCAGGTAATTAACGCTGCATGGTTGAATCCATTTTGATTTAGCGGGCAGTGGTGAAAACCAAATTCTCGTTATGTCACTCAGTCGACCAAGGGGAGGCCTCTTTGCGTCAGAACAACAGACTCGACGCAGGCCTCCTCGGAGGAATTTCAGCATGTTTCAAAACAGAAAATATATAAACGAAATAACGAAAAGTCAGGTGTAAAAAACGACAAAATTCGATAAACAGTTTGGGAATCAGCGCTGGGCGTGCGTGCTGGAAAACGCCATCGCCGCTGAGTGTTGAGCAACGGCGCAGCGATTTTGACATTTCCATTTATCGAAAATCTTGGTGCCAGATTCGGTGTGCGGTGTGTAAAATATTTGTGGTTTGCTCCCAGCGTTAGATAATAGCCTTTTCCGAACTTGATTTGCAGCTGGGAAACGAATCCGATTGCAATATAGCCAGTAGCCAGAGTGTGTATCAATTAAGCGAATATGCTGCGCTCCAAAGTGATACAGGCAGCCTGCGCCGCCCAACGTGCGTTCTCCACCACCCCCAAGGTGCTGGCCGTCAAGCAGATGACGGTACGCGATGCCCTCAACAGTGCCCTCGACGAGGAGCTGAGCCGGGACGACCGCGTCTTTCTGCTGGGCGAGGAGGTGGCCCAGTACGACGGTGCCTACAAGGTAAGCGAAAGATAAGAAAAACCCTTGCAACCGATTACGTAAACAGCATCGGCCAGCAGTGACAGTTCGCGCTGACAGCTGATGCAGTGGGCCCCACATCGATGGGGTGGCGGGGGCAGTAAGCAGTCGAGGGGCAGGGAAAGTGCGTGCCTGCCTGCCTGATAATGAATCTGAATCGTGTCTGCGTCTACCTAACGCAGGCTGCGTGATTGAAATCGACAAGGTCACGCAATATGTGTGTGACTCGACGCCACGCAGATAACACGCAGCAGCGACACAGCGATAATATATATATATACCTTTCGATTTGTTTACGCTGGATGATCGCTGGTGCTCTAATTTGTGATTTATCTTTTGTAGGTATCCCGTGGACTGTGGAAGAAGTACGGCGACAAACGCATCATCGATACGCCAATCACAGAAATGGGCTTCGCTGGCATTGCTGTGGGTGCTGCCATGGCCGGTCTGCGTCCCGTCTGCGAGTTCATGACCTTCAACTTTGCCATGCAGGCCATTGATCACGTGAGTATTCCCAATTCCCCCACTCCCCCACACATACAAGCAGTAGCCTAAATACTCATATTATCTCATTGCCAAACCAACACTAAGGGAGAGATTACTCCAGTTAATGTGCCCCTCCCCCACTCCCCACTCTCCATTCAGCTAGCTAATACTCCTAGTGTCCAATTCAAGTTGATTACAAAATCAGGGGGCGGCGCGTAATGGGATAATATGGGTTGAGCGGCTCCTGCCACAAAATCAATGCAAAGACGAGCACAGTGGGCTCCCGGGATCTCTGTACCGTTTGACTAATTCCAAAAACACCCCCCTCCCTCCCATATTATCCGATTATGTGCAGGCCAAGCTACTCAAGTCTGTCAAGCCACCCATTGGCGACTGCCAGCTGCCTCTGCCCAAGATCATTGAGAGTCCGACCTCCACCTGGATAAGGGAAATCAACGATATACTGCAAAAAGATCGTGTGGGCGAGCGGACAATCATTTCACCGCCGCTGGGCAAGAGCATACCCGACAAAATGGAGGCTGCCCGCCTCATTGTCATCCGCCGGCGCAAGATGAAGAAGCACAAGTTGAAGAAGCTGCGCCGCAAGATGAAGTTCGAGTGGGCCAAGGTGCGGCAGCGTCGCGAGATGCGCAAGGAGAAGGCGTTCCAGGGACAGCTCATGGCGCAGATCAAGCAGGCGGAATCGTTCAGTGCCGAGCAGCATGTGGCCGAGATCCTGCGGCAGGCCAACGATAATCCGTTGCCACGCTTCTGGAAGGGACGACGCCTGCCCGCATTTATCATTAAGCAGAAATTAGGCCTTAAGTGAAGTTCAGCAAATAAAATGAAAATTGTATTAACTTGAATTGGCCGCCATCAGAGAAGCTATCGGGAGGAGGCACAGGCAACCATCACACGCTCAGACCCACACACAATATATTATATATCCTTAATAATTTCAAAAACCATTTTCCCCGCCATCCTCAATCAGATCATCAATTCGGCTGCCAAGACGTTTTACATGTCCGCTGGCGCCGTCAATGTACCAATCGTGTTCCGCGGTCCCAACGGTGCCGCCTCCGGTGTGGCCGCCCAGCACTCTCAGTGCTTCGCTGCGTGGTATGCACACTGCCCCGGCCTTAAGGTCATCTCCCCCTACGATACGGAGGATGCACGAGGCCTGCTGAAGGCTGCCATTCGGGATCCCGATCCAGTTGTGTTTCTGGAGAACGAGCTCATGTACGGTACTGCATTCCCCGTCGATGATAAAATCACCGACAAGGACTTTGTGGTGCCGATTGGCAAGGCGAAGATCATGAGGCCTGGCAAGGACATCACCATTGTGGCGCATTCCAAGGCGGTGGAGACGGCCCTCCTGGCCGCCGCCGAGCTGGCCAAGAAGGGCATTGAGGCTGAGGTTATCAATCTGCGCTCCATTCGTCCCCTCGATACGGCGACCATCTTCGCCTCTGTGCGCAAGACCCACCACCTGATCACTCTGGAGAACGGCTGGCCACAGCACGGTAAGCGATCGGAGGAGCACCCTTTCAATATATGCCCTATAAAAACTTAAATTCCGTCTGCTTTCAAGGTGTTGGTGCTGAGATCTGCGCACGCATCATGGAGGATCAGACGTTCTTCGAACTGGACGCCCCTGTGTGGCGTTGCTGCGGTGTGGATGTGCCCATGCCCTACGCCAAGACGCTGGAGTTACATGCTCTGCCCCGAGTGGCCGATGTGGCTGAGGCGGCCCTTAAAGTGCTGGGCGGCAAGGCGGGCAAGGCTACTGCCGCATTGAAATAGACACACTCACACACACACACATACGCACGATACGGCACAGAGCTAACTAAATTTACTGTCCTCAACGAAAAAACAACCAACACAAAAATGGTATGGACATCCGCTGTCCCTAAATTAATGCACCGAACTGCAAATCGAAAAGTGAAATGGAATGGTTTGAATTTAAGCAGCACCATTGGATTTTGTTTATCTTTCAAACCTGCTAGTTGATTTATTTGGTTATAGAAATCTCTTCTGAAATTAAAAAAAAAGAAAAACTAGAAAACCTGGTTCCACATTTCGTTTCATTTATTTCCGCGTTTCATAATTGGCGCCAAACTCCATTCAGTGCACAAAAATTCCGAAATTTTTCGTTAGAGAAACTCAAATCGTGGAGTGGTGGTTTTTCAAATTTTACGTTTTGTACAGCTTCTGTAACCAATCCAATCAAATGGAGTTCTAAAAACTAGCAAACATTTATTGATGAATTGTTTAAAATTATTTGCTTAGGGCTGAGAGTCTTAGCTTTATAGTAATCTTAAGCCGAATATCAAAATCAAGGAATATCAACATAATTTGTCTTATCTGTCAGTATATTTACGGTATATTTTGATAATGACATGGTAGATTTTGGTATATTTCTGAGGGTCAGGGGCAGTATATTTTATCACTAAATCCGCGGTCACACTGAAAATAAGGAAAAAAGGAAAACAATAACAATTAAATTTAAAAAAACACAATGCTCTGGCTGTAATGGCAAGTAGCTCCAGCTCCGATGAAAGCTCCAAAGCCCCAGAGAATTTTCAAATATCCAGTGCCTCGACCAACGACGACGATGACATCTGTGATGGCGCAGGATACACAAAGAAGAAGCCAAATGGAGGCAGCAGCGTAAAGGAGGCGTCAACAGCTGCTGCTGCTGCTGCGGCTGCTGCTGCTGCAGTTGGTCTGCGATGTCCTTTGTGTCTCGGCTGCACTGCGACACGCTTCCACTGTCGCAATTGCGTCAGAAATGGAAACATTACTCATAGCGCCACTGCCACCGAACGAGCCGAGAGGTTTGCTGCGCCACTCTCTGCACAGTCATTTCATTCATTCTCTCCAATACATGGGTTTATCTCTTCTTCGTTTTTGCAGCCTGTCGGAAAAGCAGCAGCGGTATATCAATCTGCAGGCGGGTCTGAAGACATATAGCAATCGCTATGAGCGCCTCATACAGCAGCACAAGTCGAACGAGAATCGCGTGATGGCCATAAAAGCCAAGCGCAAACAGCTGGAGCTGCTGCAGCAGCTGATTGGCAGCACCACACAGCGTCTGCTGGTGCTGGGCGAGCGGCGGGATGAGCTGCGTCTCGCGAATGCCGAGAAACGCAAGAACCTGCCCAAGTATCCCATCAAAGTGAAGATGCTGGAGGACTATGTGCTCGATCGCATCGAGAAGATCGAGAAACTGCGCGACACGCATCTCGGTCTGATGGACAACATCAAGCAGACGGCCCGTCGGGGCATACAGCAGCTGGTTACCTACATCTTTCCCATCACCGAGGTGGTGCTGAAGGATGAGCAGCAGCGCAAGATGAGCAACGAGCGCAGCGAGGAGGCCGAGACGATTGCGGCACTGGCCGATGCCAAGAACACCTCGTATATACGTGGAAAATGGGTGTTCCATGGCAGCGGCATCAGCGAGGTGCAGTACCGCATTGTGGGGCCCTCGCTGCCGGCCAATGGAGATTATACTGCTTACCTGGACTGGCTGTCGGACAACAAGGACGACGTGCCAAAGGCCACGGCCAACGAGATTACGCCCAGTCGCTACGAGGCCTATCGCATTGTGGGCGCCCTCACGTACACGGCCCAACTGACACAGCTGCTGAGCTTCTATCTGAACGTGCGGCTGCCGCACAAGATTGCCTACGGTGACTTTTGCCGCAAGCTGCTCAACGAGGAGCAGTTCCTGCGCAAGGTGTCCCGTGTCAACTCGAACATCATGTATCTGGCCTACACGCAGCAGGTGAAGCTGCGTGCGCTCAACGAACAGCACACACTCGAAAACATTTTGGCCATACTCGATCTGGAGCGCAGCGATCTGGGCCGCTTCGGCCATTTGGATGTGACAAATGCGCCGCTCATGAAATCGGTGGACTCTCTATTAATTGGCATTGAAACGGCCACGGAATCGGAATCTGAAGGTGGGTCTCATGGAGCTTATATCTCTGTAACTCTATCTGTATATCAGTGTTCTCCTTCTTGGCAGATGAGAACTCGTTGCGCTTGGACTGGGAGTCGGTGCCCAGCTTGACGCCACAGCCAGAGTTAGCGGATCCCAATCTGATGCCAGCTGTGGCCCAACAATCGACCATTGCCATGGTGCGTATGGCAGCCACCTCGATGCTGCGCTGGATCAAGTGAGAGGCATGATGTTGCTGTTGGCTTCCCCCCAACTCCCTCCAGCAATGTCAAGCAAAGCACGTGTGTTATCTTTTACAAATTAGGCTAAGTTATCGGGAGGAGCTGTACTATCAGAGAGTATGGATGTGTTGGTTTTTAGCATTATCTAATATCTGATATAAATATATGTATATCCTATATAAATGTATGTGTATATTGCAGTGTGTAATAGTTGAGGCAAGACGACGATGACGACGACGACGATTGGTTTTGTTTTTACATAACTTATTTTGTGTCTCCTTTATTTAATAAAAAATGGTTCGCTATAAATAACTAGATCCGAATTATGCTTATTTAATGCTTGCAAAGTACAAATTACACACACGACTCACTCGACTAATTTCTTTTTTACTTAGACGTCTAAATGTTGATTGGTTTGATTGGTTGATGAATGTATGTATAATTTTATGAAAAGAAAAGGCGAAAACGAACACACACAGACGGCATTCGACCGAGGATTCGGGGGAGGATCACTCTCACCACTGCTGTCTAATGTTTTATGAAACCTGCACAGCACAGATGATGAATTACCCAACGAATCCCGGACAATATCCGATGGTAGAGGAGGGACTAGGGACTTATGCTAAACGAACTTCGTTGGCAGTTGTTGTAAGATGGATGTGGTGGTGGTGGTGGTGCTTCTGCTGCTGCTGCTGGCTGCCTCGCTGGCAGCTGTAGGCGGGGAGGGCTTTACAAATACTTGTGGCAGTGTATGGGTTAGTGGGACGGAACCGGAACCCCCATGATGTGAACTACTGGGCACAGAGACGGGCACGGGCACTGGCACTGGCACCGCCACGGAGCCACCGCCATTGAGTAGGCCATACTGATTATCATAGCTGGCCAAGGAGCTCATTGAGGAGAGGACGAGGGCAGCTGCCATCGCCTCGTGATTGTAGAATGCCGACACTGGTGCCTTCGATGGCTGTGCGGCATTTAGCATGGGTCATTGATGCGATGACGTTCCTGCACCAGCACCAGTTCCGCCAACATTTCCACCTTTCATGACGCCGCTTGGTGAGACGCTAAACTGCTTTTGCCAATTGTTTTGCAGTGCCAATTGCTTCTCGAACGTTTTCAGATCGGACAATGTCTTCATTACTTGGGCGTTGCTGCTGAGATCGTAGACATGCTGCTGCTGACCCATTGCCATCCCCAAGCCCACTTTGGCAGTGTGATTATGATGATGATTGTTGTTGTTGTTGTTGTTCTTGTGATTATAGATATACATGTTGTTCGCCTGGAAGCCCAGTACTGCTGCTGCTCCATTGGCCTTCCCCGCTGTGCCTGTGCCCGAGGCAGTCTTTGCCTTGCTTTGAGTCTTTGTCTTTGTTTTGGAGGAGGTGTGCGCCTTGGCTGTCGCTGTCGCTGTCACAGTTGTCATCGCCATCGCTCCGGCAGGATAGACACCGACAATCTCAACGCCATCCGATTCGCTGCTGCTCTCCAAATTTACTGCAGAATTCTGCAACTGAGTGGCATAGGAGATGCAGCCACTGCTGCCGCTGCCGCTGCTGTTGGTGCTGGTAATGACTGGAGTGGGCTGGGGCGTGATGTTAATGGTGGCGGAATGTGCAGCCAGCTGCTTCGATGTCTGCAGTATATCGCTGGGACACTTGTAGTCATCCAAATTGATGACATGCGGCGATGGTCTGATCACCTTGGAATGTGCTGCACTGCTGTTGTTGCTGCTGCTGGTGCTGCTGTTTGTCTGATGACTGTTGATTGTCGTGACGCTAGGATTGACGGCAGCAGCTGCCAGCGTTGCTGCTGTTATGAGATTGTACATGCTCTGGTGTTGGTCCGATTGATTCCTGCTGGATGCAGCAAAATCGCCAAGCATTCCCGCGAAGGCAGCCGCCTGGGCCGATGTACTGGGCATGCATAAAAGGTTCTCCAGATTCCCAGCTGCAGCAGCAGCAGCAGCATTCACAGGTGCTGCAGCCGGCGTCACCTGGATTTGAGGTGGGGGCTGCTGCTGCTGCTGGAGCGGCTGTTGGTGCTTTGCCATTTTTATTTTCGGTGGCCTGCTGGTTTTGCCGGTTGGCTGCTCTTTGAGCTTGCGCTTCAGGCTATTGGATGAGGCACTTGTAGCTGAGTCCGTGTCCGAGTTGCCACGCGAGCGACTTGGTCCTGCTCCTGGCGGCAACTCTTCCACTTGTCTTGGATAATTATTCGCCTGCGGCGCCAGTGCCTCTGGTGTGGCAGCAGCCGGCGCAGCAGCAACAGCGGCAACGGCAGTTGATTTCGCTTGTATCTTTGTCTTATCTGCAGACCTTCTGCTGGAGTTCTTTTGGCGGGTGATTTCACGCTGCAGCTCATCGTAGCGCATCCAGCCCATGGGCCACAGTTCCATAACCTTTGACTGCAGATAACCACTGATGAAGTCCTCCAGCGAGTCCTTGCGCTTGCCGAGCACAGCATAGGAGGTCCAGCGTGCCTGATAGACGCTGTACAAATGGCTTCGCAGCTCGGTGGGTCCACTGGAACTTCTTGCGCGGCATCTTGGGCGGCACCTCCGAGTTAACATCCGCCGCCCTGTAAAGATCGTTCGATTAATGAGCGGGAAACTCCTCACAGAATGTTTTAATTTGTCTTACGCCTGCTCTGCAAAGTGATGCAGCTCCACTTCGTAGCTGGCTATGGCCTTGGGCATGGACTCGGACACTGCACGCCGCAGTCTGTCCAGGGCAATGTTTGTCTTGTTCCTCTCCTCCTTGGAGCGCATGGCCTTGCCCTTGCGCAGTATATAGTATTTGGGCAGCTGCAGCTGATACTCAATGTGGGAGAAGACCATATTCCGCTCGTTCCGATCCGTGCACAGCAATGCCTCGTACACCCTAACAGAGGAGAGACAAGGGATTCGTCGTTTAGGATTACATTTCCCTGTCGTCAGTCGCGTCGCGAAAAAACTCACTTTAGAAGCAGGGCGCTCAAATTGCTGTCCAGCGTGAACTTTTTGCCGCACATGTCGCGGCTTTGCACCGCTTCCTTGAAACTGTTGACGGCCTTCAGTATATCCGCATCCAGGGATGTCGGTAGCTGCGTGTCAGCCGTTCGCAGATCTGGAAAGGAAACAAACAAAAAACCATATTAAATGCTGCACGGAGTCTCTGCTGCTCTCTGGAGAGAGACATACTTTCACCAGCTTGGCCTTGGCCTTGACCTTGGCCCTGACCCTTGGCTGTTTTATCCGTCATGGCGGCCTGATCGGGCACAGAGTCGGTGTCACAGCTGCTCTCCAAGTCATCCGTGGAATGGCACTTCAGTTCGCCATTGACGACAGGACCTGTGACCGATGCTGTGCCGCTCTGCGATTTAAGGAAGCTATCCCTTTTGGCCTTGAGCATGTCCTTGACGGTGGTTGTCTTCACCACCTTCTTCAGGGCCTGCGCCTGGGCCTGACGCACCTCCGAATCGGAATTATCCACGGCATTGGGTCGCGGCGAGTTCGACGAGGAGGAGGTCACTGTCAGCGTTTTGGTGGGCTTACTGGTGCTGGTGCTGGTGGTGCTGGAGCCAGAACCACTGGACTTTGACTTTGATTTTGACTTGGTTGGCTCATCCCCAACGCCGGAGCTGATCTTGGCTCTCTTTGCCTTATGATTTTCTTTGTACATTTCATTGGTGTTGGACTTTGCTGTGTTGGCAGAGTCGCCATCGTCCAGGCTCTCGCTATCGGAGTCCTCCTCATCATCGTCATCCTCATCATCATCGTCATCGCTATTCGATTCGCTATTCGAGTCGCTATCTGATGAGCCATCACCATCTGATCCATTGTTCTCGTTGCCATTATCCTCGCCAGACGACGACGAGGAGGACGAGGACGAAGACGAACTATCGGAAGCCGAGGAGACGATGCGCTTGCGCGATCTCTCTGGCATTTTGATGATCGCATCCGTTCGAGTGGTGTAGGATTTGGTCTTGGTTAATGGTTTGAACTCCAAGGCACCGCAATTGATGTAGAAGCCACCCTCGAGCGTCTCCACCTCCTCGGGTATGATTTCGTCGTACTGCAAACGAAACAAAGGAAATGCGAAACAATTTTAGCTCCGAATTTCGATTTGAGTTCTAGGCAAATGGGATTACCGCTTCGGAATTATCAATGAAGGAGTCGGTGTCATCGTAGCCCACGCCAATGTCACGATGATCGTCCCTTCTGCTGCGCCCACGGCCCTTGGCATAGGCGTTGCCATATTTGGCCTCCAGCTCTTTGGCAATGCGCTGAACGTCATCATCGTTGTCGGCAAACGGATCGCTGCTGCTGAAACCGTTGCCAGTCTTTAGCTTAAGCTTCTTGGCCTTTTTCTGCAAACAAAAACAGAGGCCAAGCGTTAGCGTTGGATACACACACCCTCCAGGGCCTACAGGGCCTACAGGGCCCTTCCACATACCTTCTCCAAATACAAAAGTTTCGAATAATTAAACTCTGGATAGTTGACGGTGTCCGTCTCGAAGAGCTTGAGATTGATGCGAATGCTTTTCGTTGTCTTTGTTGGCTTGTTTTGGACGGCCGGCACCTCCGGCTCCAAGATGTTGCCGCCGCCGCCGAATCTCGAGAATACCGATTCGCTCTGGATGATTGAAGTAAGAGAGACACGCTTATGTTCGCCCCCCCTCGACATTTCCGAACAAGCGGCAGGCGCAAACGCACAGAACGAGAGAGCGAAGAGAAACCTTCTTCAGCCTGCTGCTTCCCGCCCTTTTGGATGTAATGGAAGCGTGTGTGGCCGCCGCCGCCGCCGCCAGCAGCGCCGCGTGTTTCTTCTTCTCCTCGGTGTGTGTTGTGTGTCACACAAAAACAACGTCAGCGACCATTCACTCTTCCCTTCCCACCTCCTGCGAAGAGGGACGTGGCGGGGGGACGAGGAGGGATGTGTCTCTGTTTCGGTTTCTGCACGTACACCACCAACAACAACAACTACTACTACCGCAGCAGCAGCAGCAACGTTGCTAGCCTGTTTTCACTTTTACTCTCCTCTTATATTATTAGCAACACCACAAGAACAAATCGTTGTAAAAACATAAACAAATGCAAACGAGACGACGAGCCTTCGGTTTGGTTTTCCCGAAAGTTAATCAACAGCGAATTTCGCTCTTTCTTTATCTGGCCGCCCCCCCTCCCGCGCTGGCAGATGCAGGCCACGGATTATTTGTCACTTTTGTGCAGTTCGGTTTGGGGAAAAAACAAATTTCGGTTTAATTTACTTGTTTGCCGGCACAAAAACAACACACGCGCAACCGGGACCACAAACACTGGCTAATCGCACTTAAGTAGGACACATTAAACAGCACTAAGTACGCGCTTTTGCTGGTTTTGCAGGCGGGCTGCTTGTTAATTTGTTTCTTATTAAAATCCCGTGGCCCGTCCTCAACGCTACACATTCTCGCCTTCGCTGCGACCCCGCGTTTAACTTTTAGGCCCGCATTTTGCAGCACTGGCCGCGGATATTTCGCAATATACCTGTCTCGCTTGCGTCAACTAGGAGGTGATAAGAGAACGGCTTACGCTGGACGGCATCATGTAATGTATGCTACCTTAGATAGTAAATATTATAATTAGGTTCATTTAAACTTGATATGTTTAGTTCTAGGCCCCCTGAGCCATAGTTTAGATGGAATTAAACGAAATTTAGAAAAATTATACAAACAGCTGATGGTGCTAGTGCAGCCCTCGTTAGTGTTGCACATTTCTGGTTTGTTTTGAAGAAATCGCGCTGCTGCCCAGCACTGCCAGCTACCAGCTGTTGGTTGGAAAGTTGTTAGCAAGTGGGGGCTGACAGTGTTTTGGGTTTTTGGGGTCCCGTCTCGTCTCTCTCAGTATTATTGTGGGGCTCTCACGTAACTACGGCAAGTGTTTGCTTACAATTAGTGCAAGTGGATTGGAGCAAATACGTGAGTTTTGTTCATACATGTCTGTGTGGCTCGTGCTCCAATAAATAGTTGCATGCAAACAAATTCGACTGAAACTGCAAGCTGTTATTAATGAAAATGGGTTGACTGTGCTGCCACTATCAAATGAAAACGATAAGAATTGTGCAGTTAATGAAAGTGTGCCGTGCAGTGTCGTGTGCCGTATGCCGTGCAGTGGTCCCAAGCCACTCGTTTGTGTATATGTAGTTATTTTTTATGCTGCCTTTATGCTTGCAGCACCCCCCTTTCTCGAGTGCAAGTGACCGCCGCCGCCGTTCAAAGAGCAACGTTCGGTGCTCCACCAACAAAGGAAGGGAGCCAACCGCCCCCCACTGTCAGTCGTCGCTTTGTGACTTTCGCCCAAAGGCCCTGAACGACACAGGAATCAAATGAAACAAAGCAGTCTCCAGTCCCCCGCCCACCACACATAGCAGTCGTATCCAGGGCAGGCGCGACGCGACAATAAAGAAAGAGCTTCTTTGTTGTCTTTTTTCCATTTCATTTGCCACGGAAGAGCAGCCAGCAGCAGCAGCAGCACGCATAGCCAGAGGTGAGTGAGTAATGCGATCCATTAGTAATTACCTGGGCCACCTAGTGTACATGTTGTTCGGTTTGGCATGGCAGGAAAACTGCAAGACATCATCAGCGATAAGAATCTATTTCTGTGTACACAGAGCTCTTTTATCAGACTCCTCCGTAAGACCCATACCCGCGGTACGCAAGTATCCCAATGCAAACAAGTGTCGACAAAACGTGTCTCTCCTTTTAATTGGATTCCGTAATTTCAAAACCCCCCGAAATGGTACTGTACGCGGTAAATGACCTTGAATACATATATTTCGCCTTGTGTAATCCAAAAGTGTCCAATGAATTTCCCTGAAAAGCGAAATGTTTGTTTGAAAATACGTCCATTTCAGGCGCTCAACTGGTTTTCCATTTGGGCAGTGGCCGCACAAAAAACCAACAAATAAATAAACCAGCCGCAGCCGAAGCAGCAGCAGCGGCAACAAGTTGCGCGTACGAATTTAATTAACTTTTTAATGCGTCATTATGCCATTTTGCGACACGCCAAATGGCGGCAGTGCTGTGCTGCCGCTGATCACTCCCGATTGGCTTCGTCTCAAAGTTCACGATCATTATCAAAGAGCCGAGACATTTCGCATCATTGACATGCAAAAGCGATAAAAGAGATGCCAAAAGGAACAAGAAGAAAGAAGGAAAAGCCCAACTGTTGGGGGAGCCGAAGTGCTAGATACACTGCAGCTGCAACCTTTGAAAACTGTTTGCTTAAGTCATCGAAGAACAGTACTAATCTTTAGAGCAGATTTAGATCTATCTGCGGGGCTAAATAGCAGAAGAAATTTTTTATTTCAAATGGAAAATTAGATCTTACTTTGCTTAAAAAAAATTGTGGGCAGGCCATTAATGCACATGAAATGTATGTTGTTTTTGCCTCTCACCTTCTTACTCTCTGTTGAAGCATTCTCTCGAGTCGAGCCATTTGGAGCCAGGTCTTTCCTTCTAAACTACTTTGCAGAACCCCAAGACTCGCTGAAAGGGTATAACCAGTAATAAACGGAAGCGAAAAAAAGTGTAAGCTTTTGAACATCAGTTTATTAATTCAGGAAAAACATATTTAATGTGAAAGCAATAAAAGACAAGCTGTGGCTGTTGCTTCCCAACTGATAATAAAAATTTTGATGAGTGCAAATTCAGATTTATTTGATTATAAAAACATACAACTGCACATTTGCCCCCCTTAAACCTTAGAATCCAGACTGATTGCCTGGCAGACCACCTTTAGGTTAGATCACTTTCATTTGTATGTTTAAATGAAATTAAATATGTATATACCTACAAACATCAGTATATGGAATAATATCAATCATTTACCCTGTATATCCACCCGTACAACTGACAATAAATATCGAGAACAAAAAGTACCGGTGGGTGACTTCTAACACCCGCCATACGAATACATACACATGTACATATGTATGTACATATTGTAAGAGTACTGCCAGTCGTATGTCTCTATATCGTGGCTTGGTTCCATTTTAGAAACGATGACGCATTGACGGAAATGTATTTACAAATGAACAGACCAGACCAGAACAGAACAGAACAGAGCAAAACAGAAGAGACTCATTACACAGACAACAGACAAAACACTCGAGTAGGCCCACAGCCTATCTGTGATAAGATTTGAATCACGAGAACTCTTCTCATTTGAATGTACATGTATGTACATGCTCGCCCACAGATCTCGAACAACAGCACAGGCAACATGACGGAGAGCGAGGAGCTGATGAACAAATATGGCGAACCCTTGCGCTATGATCGGAACTTCAAGGGACCACGACAGAGGGATCGCAGCTGCACGGATGTGCCCTGCCTGCTGCTGTTTGCACTCTTTCTGGCTGGCTGGGGCTTCATTGCCCACTATGCCATCACCCATGGAGATCTCAACAAGCTGATGGTGCCAACGGACTCGTTCAATCAGAAGTGCGGCATCGATTCCTCTGTGCTGCACAAGAAGCACTTGTTCTTCTTCAATCTGGAGCAGTGCATTGATCCGCTCGTGCCGATTACTGGCTGCCCCACACCACAAGTGAGTGATGCATTCCACACGAGCAGCGAGTAGAAATTCCCAAAACTTGAGCACGATCCTTTTTGCAGGTATGCGTGGAGAGCTGTCCCACTCAGACGTTCATCTGGGACACGATGCACGACAGCCTGAGCTACGAGGAGCTGAGGAGTCGCCTGATCTGCCTGACGGATGAGCACAAGGCGAACATTCGCAGCAAAGGCGATATGCAGCGTGCCATCGATCAGAATCTCTGCGCGCGCTGGTACATCAAGAGTGCGCCCTTTCTCAATCGCTGCATATTCGAGTTCTCGCCACAGATGTGCGAGTTCATTCCCTCGTTTCTGCTCAAGGGCGGACGCTCACGTCGCCAGCTGCGGCTGCTGCCCGGAAACGCCACCTCAGAGCCGGAACTGCAGGCCCAGGCGATGGCCCTGAGCATGTCCCAGGCGCTGGTGCTGCCGCAATCGAATGGCAGGCTGGAGCCCGTGGAAGAGGAGCCGGCGGTGCAGTGCCGACGAAGGCTCAACGATGCCGTCATCAAGGAGAAGATGAAGCAAACGGACACACGGCTGGCCAAGATGGTGGGCAATCTGGTGGCGCATTTCTACAACGGCACCCACGATGCCCAGCGGCTGGGCGAGGAGATTGTCGAGGATCTGGTCAATTCGTGGTCCATTGTCTTGGTGGCCTGCTTCTGCACGCTGGTCGCCTCGCTGGTGTTTATTGCCCTGATGCGTTGGCTCTCGGCGCCCATACTGTGGTTCTCCATCTTTGCCGTCCTCACCGGCCTCCTGGTGGCCATTTACTACACTGTGCGGCAGTACATCTTCTGGGAGAAGACGCCCACTGTCCCCATACATGGCCTCAATCTGCAGTCGACGGTGAAGAATGTTCTGCAGAACCAAAACACCTGGCTCTATCTGTCCATCTTTGTGGGCGTGTGCTTTGTGGTGATCCTGCTGCTGGTTATTGTCCTGCGGAAGCGTATCCGCATCGCCATCGCCCTGACCAAGGAGGGCAGCAAGGCAGTGAGCAGTGTCTTCAGCACCGTCTTCTTCCCCATCTTCTCGTGGGTGCTCTTCATAGCCACGATCGCGTTTGCCATCGGTGTGGGCTTGTATCTCGGCTCCATAGGACAACTGTCGTTTCGCATGGTGCATCGACTGAACGAGGCCGGTGAAGTGACCAAAGAGCCCTGCGTGTGCGACGGCCCTGCCATCAACTATACGGTGGGCAGTGCCTGTGATCCGCAGCTGTTTGAGAAGCATTGCTACAATACACAGGCCTCGACGACGGGCTTCTTTCAGCAATCGCAGCGTGTGGCCTGCTCCCAGACGACCTGCAGCTTCCTGGACATCGACAATCCGCCGCTGGTCAGGTGGGCCATCTTCTACAACATATTCGGATTCCTGTGGCTGAGCTTCTTCATTTCGGCCTTCAGCGATATGGTGCTGGCGGCCACATTTGCCAGCTGGTATTGGACTTTCAAGAAGCGCGATGTGCCGTACTTTACGCTGGCACGTGCCTTCGGCCAGACAGCGTTCTATCATTTGGGCACGCTGGCCTTTGGCTCGCTCATACTGGCCGTTGTGCGTCTCATTCGCCTGGTGCTGGAGTACATCAATGAGAAGCTGAAGAAATACGACAATGCGGTGACCAGGGCGATACTCTGCTGCATGCGCTGCTTCTTCTGGCTGCTGGAGACATTCCTAAAGTTCCTCAATCGCAACGCGTACATCATGTGCGCCATTCACGGCAAGAGCTTTTGCACCAGCGCCAAGGATGCCTTCAATCTGATAATGCGAAACTTCTTGCGGGTCATAACATTGGATCAGGTCACCGATTTTCTCTTCTTTATATCCAAGCTGCTGCTCACCGCCGGTGCGGGCGTGGCCACATATTACTTTCTGGCCAACAATCCGGCCATTGTGCAGCTCCATTACAGGGCTGTGCCCACCGCAGTGGTGGTGATAGCAGCCTTTCTGATAACCAGCGTGTTCTTTGGCGTCTACTCGACGGCCGTCGATACGTTGTTCTTGTGCTTCCTCGAGGATTGCGAGCGCAACGATGGCACACCGGAGAAGCCCTTCTTCATGTCCAAACAGCTCATGAAGATTCTCGGAAAGAAGAACAAGCTGCCGCCGCGTCAGCGTCGCAGCAAGTAGGGAGAACGGAAAATGACAGTGCAAACCATAAGATAATGGAAACTCATCTAAATCTATATTTATAAATATTATATTACATTATATTATATATATATAACCCTTATCTATGGGGCCGTGAGCGCCCCCCATTGCTCAAAGCCGCCGAGAGAGTGAAAGAGAGAGAGAGGTGCAAAAAGATTTACATGAAATGTATGCAAATGCAAACTTTTTTTTGAAAGAATTTGCCAGTACCTTTAATCTCCCCTTCCCCCACACACCTTAAAGTTACACTACTTAAACCCATTTGTATATTTAATTTGTTTATTTTTTTTGGCGGCAAACGAAAATGGAACGTCTGTCCTGGATATCATGTGATAAGCGCATACGACACAAAAGCAATATAAAAAAATTTACACCCAGTGGTTGGCCATTTGTTACAGTGTTACAGCTACGAAGCCATGGCCGATCCACTCATTTACACACACATATCTCTCGCAAAACCATTTGATTTTTGGCACACAAATTGGCAATCATATAACGAATTTAATAAAATTGAATTCCCAAACGTTTTTAATTTACTTTTTGTTTTGTTTTGGTTGATTGCTTGTACCATTCCATTCATTTTCCATGAAACACGCTCATTGGAAAGTCTGATTTTATGTATGGCCGAGCGAAAGTGCAACAAGTGAGATGATAAATGCTAGTTCGTAAGTTTTATAAATTTCGAATACATATTAATAATAAACATTAAATACTGCCACACACACACACAAAGCCGGTGGGAATCTTTGATTGCCCCTGCCTCCTGTCCTGTCTACATGGATACATCCTCGAGAACGCTATCGCTTATGTCGTGCAGGTCATCACCATCGTCGCTCAGCTCGAGGTTAAAGTTCTGCGCTGCACCATTCAAGGCATTCATTTCATTATCCTTGTTGTCGCAGGGATCCTCGAACTGCTGCAAGACAGAAAGTCACATGAAAACTGAACTAGAATCTATCCACGAGGGGAGGGATACTCACATCCATTGTCCTGTCATTGAGCAGAACGCGTGGCAATATTTGTTGATGCATCGGTTCGTGGAGTGGCGTCTCGGCCACCAACGGATCCAGCCTGCCCGATGGCGATGTACTCAGATTCTGGACATTACGCGACTGATCCAGAACCTTGCGCACAGCCGCACTCTTGGCCACCAGCGAGCTATTGGCATTGGAAGACCGTGGGGGAATGCGCTCGATGCGTGTGCAGTCGTTGCAGCTCGAGGGCGTGTATGGCTCGCTGGCGGCAGGGGAAGACTCTGCAGGGGATACAGCAGCAGCAACTGCAATTCCGACCGGGGCATCGTCAAAGCCAAACGAGGCCTGCATCTGCTTCCATTTGCTGCCCAGCGATGAGAGATTGTGCTGCTGTTGCTGCTGCTGCTGCTGCGTGGCTGCCACTGGTGGTCTGGCCGTGGACTTGCCAATGGTGCGCAACAGCTGCATGGGATTAGCCACCTTGGAACGGTTCAGGGTGCAATTGAGATCGTTGGACTGTTCAAGGACTTTCAATTTACGTGCGGATCGTGGCGGTGCAGGTGCTTAAGAGGATAAAGCAGCATAATTAAGAGAACTACGAGTAATTTAATGTAATTTTCATACCCAATAAACTGTTGCTAAAATTGTCCAGTTGCTTGGCCTTAAAGTCATCCTGCAGCGGCAGACGCACGTGTGCAGTGCGCACATTAGCGCTGTCCACCGAATCGAATCGAATGGTCGGCGTGGACACCAACTTATTGGTAATGCCATGGGCACGACACTCGAAACGTGGTGTACCTGCCACCGACTGCTGCTGCGTCTGATGCAGGCTGCTGCTGCTGCCGGTGTCCTCTTTGAGCCGAAAATTCAATTTCCTTTGAGCTCTGGTCACCTGGCTCTCCATCTCCACCAGTTCGAGGCGCAGCGCCTGCAGTGTTTTGGTCACAAAGTCGTTGGACTCGTTGTAGTGATCGTTGGCATCCAGTTGCTCCGCAATGGTGTCACTGACTCTGTTGAAGGCGCACACCAAAGCATCCATGTCGGAGCCGCACATCGGATCCGACACGCTGTCGAAGAGCTGGTGCATGTCGCATAGTGTCTGGTCCATGGCTTCCTTGTTTTGATTGTGCTCCGCCTGCTTGGCCTGGAAGCGTTCGATCTTCTCTTTGAGGTCCCTGAGCGGTAGCTCCAGTGTGGCATTGCTGGCAGCGGGCGCAGATATTTTCTGTTGCACAGCCAGTCGATTGCTTGCTTCAAACTCCTCCAGGAAGGCATCGTCGTACAGCTGTGCCTCCGCCACTCCGGTGATGCCGGAGATCTCAGCTTGGATGTGCCTGATCTTTTGTGTACTTCCACGCAGCAGAGTCGAATTCCGTTCCAGTTCCTCCACATACGAGGATGCATACTCCTTCAGTAGGGCATTCTGCCTGCCCATCACCTTGACATTCAAGTCTCGCAGTTGGGCTGGACTCGTGTCGACGAGCAGAATCTTTTCCCGTTGCTTGATCAGCTCCTGGACCACAAAGCCCACAAATTCCAGCATGAAAGTAATGAACTTATGCCCACCGGGCATCACCACCAAATATGACTTGATGTGCGCCCACTGCAGCTGATGCTTCTCGTTCAGGTGCTTCAGATACTCCACGGTGCTGGAGCGGAAGTTGGCCTCCGCCTTTTTGTCAGCAATTGGCCAGAAAAAGCGCCGCTTGAACTCCGCCGGATCCAGCAGTCGGAACAGATAGTGCATCACCTGAAAGAACGCCGCCTGATTGGGCTTGAGAAACATATCCCAGCAGAGAAGCTTCCGCATCTCGTCCCCCATGGGATAGAGCAAAGCCAGGCCCTGGAGCTTCTTGTGCAGCTTCTCGCTTTGCTCCTTCTCCTCGGCTTTCCAGGGTGCAATTACCGAGCGGTCCATGCTTGTTTCTCATTCAGGCTCAATTGGTTTAATTAATCTATTTTCCAATATGGTTTTATTTTTTTTTTTTGCGACTACCGCTGTTGTTTGAAGTTGCGCGATCTGTCAGATGTGCAAGTATGAGTGCACTATCGATATTATCGCGATATTTTATGATTTTCAGTATATTTTTACGTTGAAATTGAAATGATACATTTCGGTATATTTATTTATGTTATCGATAAGTGCGCTAATCAACTAGCTCTCATAAATAATCCAATAAAAAGGACTTCTGAAAACTTGCCAATCTTGTAGAAAATGTATGTATCTATCGGATAAAATTATTTGTTTAGGGCTGAGTGTCCCAGCTAGCTATTAATATTAAACGGAATATCGAAATCAAAAAAATACCAATCCAAACATATCAAAAGCGCAACGACCGTAGCTCGATACTATCATGATAGTCGCAAAACCGCCGATAGTAGCGGATAGCAGCAAAACATCGATACCATCAATAGTGCCCTCGCTGGTTTGACAGTTGTGCAGAAATTTATTTATTTATATTAAAAAACAATAGGTAATTAATTATTCCATGTAACAGTAATATACCTAGATGACTTGCAAGTAAAGTGCTCGCTAGATAGTGAAAGAATAAAGTGTATATGTGACACATAAAGTGGCGGATATAATGTGAGTGCGGGGTACAACGTAGCACTTTCTTTTTGTCTGCAGCCAGCGAAAAATCAATATGTGTATGGGGTATAGAAATCGAATCTATAGTATAGAGGCAGTGGACTGATTATGCAGACATCTGGACAAGAACAAGTGTCGGTGTCTCGTCTCGCCCCCCACTCTCACGATAATCAAATCAGTATTACGAACCACAACGAAAATTAAAAAACCACAATGAGCAGGCACTATTCTTGTAATTTAAGATAGCCAGCGAAGCAATGAGTCCCGGTTGAACTTCAAACTGCTCGTATGATGATGATTCATTCAATTTACGCATTTATGTATATGTAATTCGCAGAAATCGGTAATCAGGCGTTGATTTTGAGGCTGCAAAGATGGGTTCGTTGTTCCGTAGCGAGGAGATGGCTTTGTGCCAGCTCTTCCTACAAAGTGAGGCTGCCTACGCGTGCGTATCGGAGCTGGGCGAACTAGGCCTGGTGCAGTTCCGTGATGTGAGTACCACCTCCGGTTATGGCCAGAGCAACACTTGAATCTATGTGCATACTCCCCTTTCAGCTCAATCCCGATGTGAACGCCTTCCAGCGCAAGTTCGTCAACGAGGTACGCCGCTGCGATGAGATGGAGCGTAAGCTGCGCTACTTGGAGAAGGAGATCAATAAGGATGGCATACCCATGCTCGACACGGGCGAGAGTCCCGAGGCACCACAGCCCCGTGAAATGATCGACCTGGAGGTGAGTTTTAGTGTCAGTTTGGGCATGGGCATGGATTTCTACGGCTTCCCTGCCATCTGGTTTCTACAGGCCACCTTTGAGAAACTGGAGAACGAGCTGAGGGAAGTCAACCAGAATGCGGAGGCATTGAAGCGCAACTTTCTGGAGCTGACCGAACTGAAGCATATTCTGCGCAAGACTCAGGTCTTCTTCGACGAGGTAAGCATGCGGTTTTGCAGCTGCACTAGTACGTGGCGGAGGTTGGCACTAAAAAAAAAAATAAACCAGTCCCAGTCGCTGGACAATTGCTAATTTCCAATTAACATATGGCTCAAGAGTACCAAAAAAACAAAAACAAAAAACTAACCAACTTTTCTAAGCAATAACAATAACCCGAGAACCTGCACCGACAACACAAGTGTGACAGCAGCCTCTGGTTTCTAGTTTCATAAGCAATCTCTCTATACTATTCCCCACCCAAACAACACCCGGTTGAGTCCAGCTCCAGCCCAATCCAAATCCAAAAACTTTAATTCTGAACACAAGACAAACACACAACAAACACACAGCTCGTGGCACATCCCTCAGATGTTCCTTTTTTGCGGCACAATTTCTGCCCCCAAATGATATGTGCTTACCCCCTTTTGTTTGATTTTTTGTACAATATACACCTGTAATTGTTTTGTATTCCCGTGTGCGTTAGATATCAGTTTATGGTTATTTGTTTCTATTCTATGCCTCGAAATGCTTTCTAAATCTCTATATACATGTGTATATATTACTTATCTGTATATGCCAGGACCCACCCAAACCCCAAACCCCCACACCCTTATTGTTTAGTATTAATTTTATGATTATTTTTTGCTATTTTCGGTTATTATATGATTCGTTTTTTACATTTTGTTTTTCCATATCAATCAATCAATCAATATATCCCACACCTTGACCAAAAACAAAAACCAACCCACAAAAAAATACAACACACACATACGAATACGAACACGACACACACCACCCCCCCTGTCGTACTGCCCGGTTGTGTTGCCAGTCGGTGCCCACGGTGTACAAGTCGAGTGCTCCCACACATTCATCCAACAAATATCGGCGCCTTCTGCAGATGTCCGACAATCAGAACGAGGATGAGCAGGCGCAGCTGCTGGGCGAGGAGGCGGTGCGTGCCAGCCAGCCGGGCCAAAATTTAAAACTTGGGTAAATATTGCTGTTTTCGGAAAACATCCCAACCAACAACAACAAACAACAACAACAACAGCAGCAGCAACAACCAAACAAACACCAAACACAACCAACAACAACAATGGGAAAACTAAACTCAGGGCCAAAAACTCGAATCTTGCTAGCTCTCCTGCTCCTCCTGCTCCTCGGTTGTTCTATGTTAGGATACCCTTGCCAGACGGTGCTACTATTCATATTAGAGGTTTGCATTGTCTTAAGTAAACTTATTCTCGAATCTATTCTATGCGTCCGTTTGTCTGTTTCAAAGACTCAGGCCCTTGTTTTGTAGATCCTCCATCACATTTAAACGAATTTCTTTGCTTAAAGAAACTGAAAACTTTCCATTATCGGTCTGCCAGGGTATCTTAAACGACGGTGTCCGTCGTTGTTTTTTTTTTTTGTTGTGTCGCTTATTACCCTCTCCCACCAGGGTGTTATCTGCATTTGTACAGTTAAAAAGTATTTTGCATATATGTACATAAGTATGTGTTTGCGTGTATGTATGTGTGTTAGTCCCATCAATAACTGTCTATCGAAATGTTTGCTCCGGTGTCGATAGGCTGTGGCTATCGAATTTAAATATAATCTCGTAAAGCAAATAATCTACATAATGTTTGCTGTGGTGTCGGTTTCCATTCTCTCCACTCGGCTATCAAAACTCAACTATTCCCATCCTCCCCACCTCCTGTCCTCCAATCCACACACATATCCACACAGAACGACTCGTTTGAATTCCTAATTTGGAGGCGGTTCTTGACTAACCAGCGAGCTACTAAACTAACCATAAGTCGTATCTTAGCTTAGCTTAGCTTATGTAAAATGCTTAGCCGAAAACCAACCAAAGATCGAAATCAATTTTGAAAACTGAATTTCTAGCAAGAAGGCGGTGTGAACCAAACCACCGAGTCGATGACGCGCGCCCTTATTACCGATGAGGCGCGCACCGCTGGTGCTTCCATGGGCCCCGTTCAGCTTGGGTACGTATCCAGCATTCGGCAGGCACAGAACACACACACACACACATTCCACCAAATCGGCCTGAAGAAATGTGTTCTACTACAACAATATATATATATTATACATATAACCATTTAACTTTAAATGAACTCAACAAATGCCACACAAAATTATTGCTTACTGCCGCCGCCAATGCCAAGAAACAAAACAAAAACTAACTGAGAAATCAATCAGCCGCCGCCGCCGCAGCCGCGCCTTAACAAAAACCAAAACGAACTGAAGCCCACAATCAATGTCTAAATGTCTAAAGAACAGCGCCAATCGCATGGATGGGAGGGAGTCTGGTTTCAAGCAATAATTTTCTGTGTAGAAGAAAGAAACAAACAACAACTAAAACAAACGTCCTTCTCTTCTTTGCTTCCTCTCTTCCCCCACACAAAAAACGTTTTCCAAATGTCCAAACAAACAAAAAACAAAAACCATTGGGTTCCAAAATATTTAGTTTCATGGAAAAATCGAATGAACGTGAGGATTATCTTCCATGGTTGGTACCCTGCCCAAACAGCCGAATTAGTTTAGGAATCAATCAATCAATAATACTGCCGCCGCCTCATTCTCAATCGATCAAACCAAAGCGCTCGCTCATCCACTTGTATTTGTATCGATCAATCGGTCGATTCTGCCGTATCAGCTGTATATAGAGACCATTAGTCATTAGCTTCGCTCGTACGCACACGCACCTGCACTGCATCCCCATCCGAAATCCGATCCCCATACAATGTGCTAACGTTTTACCTGTCCACCCTTCCAAGAAGAAAGATCCTTTGCCGTTTCTCGATCTGCTCATTCCATGCTCCTCCTGCTCCTCCTCCTACTACTCCTCCTTGCTCGTGCTGCGCGCCCACACGCGCCTGCGCTCTCCATTGGTAACTTTTGTGCTTGAGAGTTTAGTTTTCCTTTTTTTGTCGTAAATAACCGGAATGTCTCTCTGTTGAATGTCCCGCCCACACGTATGGAAGATCCGTATCTAATCTGTGTTCTCCTTTAGCTTTGTGGCTGGCGTTATACTGCGCGAACGTTTGCCGGCCTTCGAGCGGATGCTGTGGCGCGCCTGTCGAGGCAATGTGTTCCTGCGCCAGGCCATGATTGAGACACCGCTGGAGGATCCCACAAATGTAGGCCAATCGATTGAGAGACCTCAAACCATTATTAAACTTCTCTTGATCTATTTTTACAGGGCGATCAGGTGCACAAGTCGGTGTTCATCATCTTCTTCCAGGGCGATCAGTTGAAGACGCGCGTCAAGAAGATCTGCGAGGGCTTCCGTGCCACACTGTATCCGTGCCCCGAGGCCCCGGCCGATCGCCGTGAAATGGCCATGGGTGTGATGACGCGCATTGAGGATCTCAACACGGTGCTGGGCCAGACGCAAGATCATCGCCATCGTGTGCTGGTTGCGGCCGCCAAGAACCTGAAGAATTGGTTCGTGAAGGTGCGCAAGATCAAGGCCATCTACCATACGCTGAATCTCTTCAATCTGGATGTGACACAGAAGTGTCTGATTGCTGAGTGCTGGGTGCCGCTGCTGGATTTCGAGATCATTCAGCTGGCCCTGCGGCGTGGCACAGAGCGATCGGGCTCGTCGGTGCCGCCGATTCTCAATCGAATGCAAACGTTCGAGAATCCGCCCACCTATAATCGGACGAACAAGTTCACGAAGGCCTTTCAGGCCCTGATCGATGCGTATGGCGTGGCCAGCTACAGGGAAATGAATCCGGCTCCATACACGATCATCACGTTCCCCTTTCTGTTTGCCGTGATGTTCGGTGATTTGGGCCACGGTGCCATAATGGCATTGTTTGGCCTTTGGATGATACGCAAGGAGAAGGGGCTGGCCGCCCAGAAGACGGACAACGAGATATGGAATATATTCTTTGGCGGTCGCTACATCATCTTCCTGATGGGCGTTTTCTCCATGTACACGGGCCTGATCTACAACGATATATTCTCCAAGTCGCTGAACATCTTTGGCTCCCACTGGCAGATGTCGTACAACAAGTCAACGGTGATGGAGAACAAGTATCTGCAGCTCAGTCCCAAGGAGGATTACGAGGGCTCGCCGTATCCGTTTGGCATGGATCCGATTTGGCAGGTGGCGGGCTCCAATAAGATCATCTTCCACAATGCCTACAAGATGAAGATATCGATTATATTCGGTGTGACACACATGATCTTTGGCGTTGTCATGAGCTGGCACAATCACACCTATTTCCGCAACAGGATCTCCATGATCTACGAGTTCATTCCCCAGTTGGCATTCCTTCTGCTGCTCTTCTTCTACATGGTACTGCTGATGTTCATCAAATGGATTAAGTTTGCGGCCACCAATGAGAGTGAGTTTCAATCCAAAAGGATTAATTTGTTGTCTAATTAAGTAACAATTCCTCCTGCAGAGCCCTACTCGGAAGCCTGTGCGCCCTCTATACTGATCACATTCATCGACATGGTGCTGTTCAACACACCCAAGCCTGCGCCAGAGGGCTGCGAGCTGTACATGTTCTGGGGCCAGCATTTTGTCCAAGTGCTGTTCGTCGTGCTGGCCGTCGGCTGTATTCCCATCATGCTGCTGGCCAAACCCATGCTGATCATGCAGGCACGCAAATTGGCCAACGTAAGTAGATCGATCGTGTGCGCTCAATCGTTCACCCAAGACATCACAACATCACTCCCCACATGGCACTCCAGACTCCAATTATATACTAACCGCTTTTCGTTTATTGTGTGCTCTGTCCTCCCATTGAACACACACACACAATCCACACCAAACCAAACCACTAAACAAAACAAAAACCACACGTAAATTCCAAACCAAATACAAATAAAGGAAGAGGTTAGTCGTGTCGTAGTGTGTCCCTTGTGTGTTGTTGTGTGATTTCCCCACAGCAGTTCTCTAATCGCAGACTTTTCTTCTTTCACTTTGGCACAGGTTCAGCCCATTGCTGGGGCCTCATCCGATGCGGAGGTTGGTGGCGTGTCCAATGGCGGACCAAATGGTGGCGGCGGTCCGCACGAGGAGGAGGAGGAGATGTCGGAAATATTCATACACCAGAGCATACACACCATCGAATATGTCCTGGGTTCCGTCTCTCACACCGCCTCCTATTTGCGTTTGTGGGCGCTCTCCCTGGCCCATGCACGTAAGTATTTAATTCTAAATCTAAAAGAAGATTGCTCCGACTAATGTGAAATGTTCTTTCGCTTCCCATCCCACAGAGCTGGCCGAGGTCTTGTGGACCATGGTGTTGTCCATTGGTCTGAAGCAGGAGGGCTGGTTCGGCGGCGTCATATTGACCTGTGTGTTTGCCTTCTGGGCCATACTCACTGTGGGCATTCTGGTGCTAATGGAGGGCTTGTCGGCGTTCTTGCACACACTGCGTCTGCACTGGTGGGTTTGAGTGGCGCTTCCCAAAATCAAAGAGACCTCTACTTGTCCATATTTTCAATCCATTCGCAGGGTCGAGTTCCAGAGCAAGTTCTACAAGGGTCAGGGCTATGCTTTCCAGCCATTCTCCTTTGATGCCATCATTGAGAACGGATCTGCTGCAACCGAGGCCGAGTAGAGGATCCCGCGCAAAGGAAGCAGCAACAGCGATAACCAAAGCATGCTGAGAGTCTCATTGAGTTATATAAATAACTATCCACATAAGCTGATCTATTTAAATGGAATTTAACAAAACGTAAATTATGTACGCTGTTCGCTTTAATGTTCAATAATCGAGAATTTACGTATCTATAGCCCCCCAAGTCCCAAGCACGTGTGTTTAATGTTAGTACATAATCGATTAATGTTTCATGTAGTTCGTCGTCTGCCGTGCTTATTATATCTACTCATAAATAAATAGCATAGCGCCCGCTTAAGGGGTCAGCACCAAAAACAGGCACTATTTGGTGGCGGAATGTGTCCATCGCTTGGCCATCAGTTCGTCCAGAGCATTCACAAATTTCAGCATATTCTCGTTGGCCGACTCGTAGGCTCTGAGAGACGCAAAGTCTAGGCTGGCCAGTTGCACGGCCAACTGGCTGGGTTTGCAGGTGTAGAGGTACTGCTCGGAAGCCAGCTGCGTGGCCAATTCCTGCTGATGGTTGTCCATAAGCTCGTCGTTTACCACAATAAGTCCGGCCTTGCCGTTGGACAATATATCCATGCAGGTGCCGGCGCCGGCATGGCCAATGATCAAATCGGATGCCTTAATATCCTCTATATTGGGTCGAAACGTGTACTGCTCCAATTGGATGCCGTATTTCTGGCTTATCAGTCCAGACTCCGCCACTGGCACCGGCTCGGAATTGCCATGCTGCAGGATGAGTTTTCGGCACTGCCGCTGCTGCAGGGACTTTAGAGCCGACTCCGACGTTATGGCATTGATGAGGGCATCGAATCTTGTGGTGCCAACAGTCACATAAACGGTTTTTAAATGCATTTAACAAGTTTTGCTTTAGAGATGGGAATTATTGTAACAGCTGCTTTCAGTTATCGTTCTTCTTCGTCGCTTTGCCATTCACTGGAGCTGGGGCTTTTTAAGCTTTCCGATTAAATCAACCGTTACTTTTATGTAAATTCCAAAAAACACGCAATAACAAATTAAAGACATTAATTTATTATATTGATTATTTTTCTAAAAATATATTTACTCGATTCTTGTTACGCTCACATTGATACCCACACATACATAATTTCTCAAGAGCTTCGCGATCTATTTTGACCGTCGAAAGTATATTTTATCGATAAAACCGCTCTTTTCTGTTCTGTTTGTTCTCAGCCGTTGAGCTTAACGGTTGTTGTGTTCGGCTGCTCGGTACATATAACGGTGTTTCGTCGTCGTGGTCTTGGAAAAATTGCAAGCTTAGCACGCCGGCGCACAAGTGCTGAGGAAGTGTGTGATTTTTTAAGATTTTATTCAATTATCACACGACAACGTGCGCCTGCAAAAGTTTGGCCTACTACACTACGCCTATATATACATAGTCGAATATATGCACGTACATACATATGTAAACTTGCTCTTGCCAGTGTAATTGTGTTTGTGGTTTTCATGTGTGGGTGACCACACTCAAATGCGATTTACTGCACTTTTTCGTGGGTGTCGTCGTCGTCTCCAGCATAACAGTAAAGGTGTGAAAGAGTAAACAAACGAATCCAGTCAAGGGCCAAACGGTAAATTGAATTATTCTCACGTTGCTTACTTGCTCTTGCTCTTCGACGGCTGTGCGTGTGCAATGGTGTGTGTGTGTGTGTGTAGTCAAATGCTATGTGCGTGGGTCCGTGTGTGAGAAAGTAATTGACTAATCAACACTTCATTTAATTTCATTTTTATTTCTGCACACTTTCAAGTTTGTTTATTTTATTTGCCGTTTGTTTGCTGGTGGATTTGCGCTTCACTTGGCGGCATCTGGAAACGATTAAATGATATTTACAGTTGGCCAGAGTACAGAGCGCACTTGCTCTCCTCTCTTGCTCTTCCTCGTTCTTTTATTCTAATTATGCTTTTACGCAGGATCCATAAATTATAGCAAAAAACTTTCCTTGGCGGGCGGCTCGTCTTTTTATGATCGCAAATATTTTTTGAAAACAGAAAAAGATAATATTCTGCATATACAAATTTGTAGAAATAATCAAGGTACTGCCGAAATCCAATTAGAGCAGAAGTGCAAATTATTCAAGCGGCCCAACCCGAGATCAGTTCTTCATTTGTGTCCAGCCGTCCAACCCCACCACTTGCTAAAGCACACACACACACACCCATGCATGCCCCCCTCCCACACAAGCGCCAGAAATCACTCATCGCCCAATAAATTCTGTCTTTATTGGTATTGGTGTCTGTTTAATGCTGCTGCTGCTGCTGATGCTGGGAGAGGAGAAGAACACCGTTGAGCGATTAAATTTGTTTTAATGTCTTAATCGTGGGTGTGAGCAGGAGAGAGAGAGAGAGATGGAAGCAATATTTACATGTCATTTCAGCCGGTGAAACGGACCACACTCTCTGTCTCTCGCCAATGTGATTAACATTCTCTCTCTTGCTGCCAGACGCAAAGGCGCTACGGCATCCATGTCCTTGTATTAATTAATTGACTGCAAAGTATATCTATGGCCATATGGCTACATCATCATTGCTTCGCCATCGGCTTGTACGCAGTTTATCAATGAAATATAGCCATAAATTGGATCCCCAGCGGGAGTCAGTCAGTCCACACACCCGACACATCCCCTCCATCAACCTACCACCACCCCCCATGGGCGTCATATCGTTTGCAGCCTTATATTCATGAAGGTCAGACATCGTGTCAGCATCGGGTCAGGGGGATTGACTTCTGTACTAGTTGTCGGCGTTTAATTGCAGTAATTTGCAAAAAAAAAAAAAAAAAAAAAAAAAACAGTAACAGCAGGAGAAGCAGCATCAGAGATGGGGCAGCAGCTGGGGAGCAGAGCAGCAGAAGTGGCTGATCAAATTAATGTCATAACTCAATTAGTCGGGGCGGACATATTTGAATGAATGCTCTGCTCTGCTCTGCTCTGCTCCTCTCTGACTCGTTCGTATAAGCTGATTTATGGCGCTGTTGTTGCGCTCCTCAATTTATTCTCAAACTTTTGCCAATTGATAATGACGTCGGGAGTTCGGACATTCCGTTCTGTTCTGTTGTCCCCCATACTTGAGCGCCCGTAATCGCAAGCTCGCAAAATTGCAGATGAAAGGTCACACCCACCACCACCCAGGGTGATTGACATTTTTAAGATAGTACGACAATAAAGTACTTATTTTGTGGGACTATGAGTGTTTGCCATGGCTTTAAATCATCCAAAAGGGATTACTAGATTCTGTTTCTCTCTTGAAGCATTCGCTTGTGCGTCTCGAGCATAAATTCAATTTGATTTTAAAGTTTTTGGATGGATTTTCCTGGAATTTTGTGGCTTCTTAAAGTCTTAATCTGTTTTTATTTCTTAGAACAGAATGTACATAGCTTGATGATCCCCTAGGTCTGCTGACAAGCTTATTGATAAGGGTAAAAACGCTTGACCACACCACGTATTCGTATTAGGAATAACCCACGCATAATACCTAAGCCAAGTCAATTATTATTATTGTAATTTCTTTCGTGGACCAGTTTGGAACAAGTTGCCAGCAAAATTTCTCAGTGGGGAAATATCAAGTGAGTAAATGACGTTGAGGGGAAACACCTTGTGGCGAATGCCAATGCACGCCTGACCAGATCTATGTAGATCTTTATAGCGTTAAGCTTTCTGGGTTTAACGAAAAAAAAACCCATTGCCTGACATAAGTGTGGTGTGTGTGTGGGGGGGCCAACAAAAGGCAGTTGAATATACATGTTTATCTGTCTGTCTGGCAGAGGGATTGTCTCTACGAATATTACACGAACAATGAATGGAATGATTTGTTGTTAGCCGCTGTTAATTATACACCAGAAGCAGCAGCAGCAGTCTCTGGGATGAGCTAATGGCAGCGTTACGTACTTGGCTTGGCCACTCCTCCCGCAGGTTTTGTTAACTAAACGATTACTTACCCCACAGAACTGCAGTGGTGCGGGCAACCCTTTTCCTTTGGCTTCGCTTCGCTTCCTTTTGCCAGCCGCAAATGGGGTTGAGATGCACAATTTGATCGGCAGTGACACATGACACAGAGCCAGAGGGAGAGAGAGAAACCACTTAAGTGGAGAGAATAATACTGTGTGTACTGCCGTGATTGCAGCCAACCTGCAGCTGGATATCACATTACCTGCCACCACACACCACAAACCAGCAGGAAGTGGAAGTGGAAGTGGTGTACCCAGATCCTGATTACTAATCGATAGCTTCTTCCTGTTCCTGTTTTTGCAGAATCGATTGGATAGCCAACCACTACTCGAGATGGTCGTCAAGGAGATGCCGCTGCACGAGAATCTCAGCATGGAGAACCGTTCGGGCAGCACAGCCGCCCCAACCACCACAACGACCAGCTTCTCGCGTGTGGGCCGACGCTACAGCCTGTCCCTGACTACAGCCGTGCTCCTGGTCTCCTTTTTCCTGTGCACGCTGCTCGCCGTGGGCCTGATTGTGTACAACTTTGCCACATGCGACCAACTGTCGCCCGGCGAGGGCGACGACATTGTCTGCACCAGTGTCCATCAGCGGCACAAGCAGCGCCACGGCCACAGCGATGGCCAGCCCAAGTACGATCGCGATGTGCGCCTGCCCCGCTCCATACAGCCGCTGAAGTACAACATCACACTTGTGCCGCAGCTGAGCGGCAACTTTAGCTTTGCCGGCACCGTGCAGATCCGCATACGAGTGCTGGAGGATTGCTACAACATCACCATGCACGCCGAGGAGCTGAATATCTCGCGCAGCGATGCCGCCGTCTACCGGCTGCTGGCCAAGGAGCAGCTGGACAAGGACAGTCTGCGCATCCACAAACAGTATCTGGTGGGGGCCAAGCAGTTCTTTGTGATCGAGCTGTATGACAAGCTGCTGCGGGGCGCCGAGTATGTGGTGCATCTGCGCTTCGATGGCATCATTCAGGACTACCTGCAGGGATTCTATCGCAGCTCCTATGAGGTGCGCAACGAAACGAGGTGAGTTCCAGCCCTGCAGCGAAGTTTCCTCTGTTCAGTTGAGGGGTTCCTCTTCCAGGTGGGTCGCCTCCACACAGTTCCAGGCGACGGATGCCCGACGCGCCTTTCCCTGCTTCGATGAGCCAGCGCTAAAGGCCAACTTTACGCTGCACATTGCACGACCACGCAACATGACCACTGTCTCCAACATGCCCATTGTGTCCAGCAATAATCAGTAAGCATAAAAGGGAGCACCTTCTAGCAGATACCCTCTAATGCTGCTCCTCCCTTGTGCCTCCACAGCGAAACCATTCCCAGCTATGTGTGGGATCACTTTGCCGAGTCGCTGCCCATGTCCACATATCTGGTGGCCTATGCCATAACCGACTTTTCGCACATCTCCTCGGGCAACATCTCGGTGTGGGCCAGGGCCGATGCCATCAAGTCGGCGGAATATGCATTGAGTGTGGCCCCCAAGATACTCAACTTTCTGCAGGAGTTCTTCAATGTGACATTCCCGCTGCCAAAGATCGACATGATCGCCCTGCCCGAGTTCCAGGCGGGCGCCATGGAGAACTGGGGTCTGATTACCTTCCGGGAGACAACGATGCTGTACGATCCGGGCGTGGCAACGGCCAACAACAAGCAGCGTGTGGCCTCGGTGGTGGGCCACGAGTTGGCCCATCAGTGGTTCGGAAATTTGGTGACGCCCAGCTGGTGGTCCGATATCTGGCTGAATGAGGGATTCGCCAGCTATATGGAGTACATTACGGCGGATGCTGTGGCCCCCGAGTGGAAGCAGCTCGATCAGTTTGTGGTCAATGAGCTGCAGACGGTGTTCCAGCTGGATGCGCTCTCCACATCGCACAAGATCTCCCATCAGGTGTTCAATCCGCAGGAGATATCCGAGATATTCGATCGCATTTCGTATGCCAAGGGATCGGCCATCATACGCATGATGGCTCACTTTCTGACCAATCCAGTGTTCCGTCGCGGACTCAGCAAGTATCTGCAGGAGATGTAAGTGAAGAATCCCTTTAAACGAATTCTGCTCCTCCTCAACTCCATTCACTTGGCAGGGCGTACAACTCGGCCACGCAGGACGATCTCTGGCGTTTCCTAACGAACGAAGCGAAATCCTCGGGGCTGCTGGATCACAGCACCAGTGTCAAGGAAATCATGGACACGTGGACGCTGCAGGTGGGCTATCCGGTGGTGAAGATCTCGCGGCATCCCAACTCGAATGCCATACGTCTGGAGCAAGTGCGTTTCGTCTACACCAACACCACGAAGGAGGATGAGGGCCTGCTCTGGTGGATCCCAGTGACCTTTACCACCGCCTCGGAATTGAATTTTGACAACACCCGCCCCACCACCTGGATACCGCGCACAAAGCTGTACGAGCTGGAGAATCGTAATCTGTCCACCGCCAAGTGGTTCATCTTCAACATCCAGCAGACGGGCTACTATCGCGTCAACTACGATCTGGACAATTGGCGCGCGGTGACCGAGCATCTGATGGATGCCAAGCACTTTGAGGAGATTGCTCCGGCCAATCGGGCCCAACTAATTGACGATGTACTGAATCTGGCACGTGGCTCGTATCTGTCGTATGGCACGGCCATGAATCTCACCCGCTACCTCGCCCACGAGACAGGCCATGTGCCGTGGAAGGCGGCCATCACGAATTTCAATTTTATTGATTCCATGTTTGTCAACTCCGGTGACTACGATCTGCTCAAGGTATGGGCTGCACATCGCCTCCAGGGGTTAATCATTAATCAATCTTCTATTAGAACTATCTGCTGAAGCAACTGCGAAAGGTCTACGATGAGGTGGGATTCAAGGATTCGCAGCGGGAAAGCGAGGACATATTGCTGCTATTGAAACGTGCCGAGATTCTGAATATGGCCTGCCATTTGGGGCATCAGGAGTGCATCTCCGAGAGCAATAGGCATTTCCAAAACTGGGTGCAGTCGCCCAATCCCGATGCCAACAATCCGTAAGCAAAAGCCGCAACTAAACCAGCGGAACGAACGCATAATTAATGAAATTCCTTCTGCACAGAATTGGACCCAATCTGCGTGGTGTTGTCTACTGTTCGGCCATACAATATGGCACCGAATACGAATGGGACTTTGCCTTCGAGCGGTATCTGAAGACCAGCATACCGGCGGAGAAGGAGCTGCTGCTGAGTGCGCTCGGGTGCTCCAAGGAGCCCTGGCTGCTCTATCGCTATCTGCGACGTGGCATTGCCGGCCAGCACATACGCAAGCAGGATGTCTTTCGGGTGTTTGCTGCCGTCTCCAGTACGGTGGTGGGCCAGCAGATAGCCTTTGATTTCCTACGCAATAACTGGCAAGAGATCAACACCTAGTAAGGAGATCAACACCACCAAGTGCCCAGAGTGCCACTGCAGACTTATACTACATTTTTGTTCGTTCCAGCATGGGATCCCAGATATCAAACATACACACAATGCTAAAGTTTGCCACGAAGCGCATGAATTCCAAGTTCCAGTTGGCCGAATTCGAGGACTTTGTGAAGGATGCGCACTGGGACTACGACAGACCCATCCGGCAGATCGTCGAACAGGTGGAGACCAGCGTGGACTGGATGAACCGCAACTACAAGTCGATTGTCGAGTGGCTGAAGATAGAGACACAGCGGGGAGGAGCGTAAGCAGGAGCCTTGGCAGCCTTGGCTGGATCAATGCTGCAGCAGTATTAGAATACATTTTGCAACTGCAACTGCATTATTATCATTTTTTAACCCTTAAGTTCTTGTCTTGGGCAGCCAATGCATTTATATTTAGTATTTATATTTATGTATGTATCTCGAGTGTTTTACTGTTTTGAGTTTCGCCAAAGGGGAACGAACCCTTCGGCCTTTGGCAGACAGATCAACAACAACAACAAAAGAAATATAGGGGAAACAAAAGCGACGGCCTCCCCGTCCGTCCAATGCTGAAGCTGAAGCGCTTGCCTCGTATCGTATCGATGGTTTCTTGTACTTTTTAATGTATGCTCGTACTTTGTTCATTTCGTAAATTACAATTATGAAAGTCTTGTAATAATAATAATTTTGTTTAGTTTTAACTCTACCCGTATTTACCCGTACTTGTACTTAAATGTAAATCGAATTAAATGGAATGCAAATGGATTGTCAAAGTCACATCACATCAGTCACGTTTCACAGGCTGAGCTCTCCGGCTGCCTGGCAGTCTGAGGACATCGGCGAACATAAGTGTGCCCACAAACACCATCACTGTGCCTAGCCAGTGGTACACCGTAAAGGGATTGCGGAAGTAGACGATCGAAAACACCAACGAAATGAACTTGCGCAGGGTTATGATCAGTGTTACGGTGAGGGAGCTGCATTCCGTCGTCAAGGCATACACCGAACTGATGCACATATGCTGCGTGAGCACGTTGCCCAGCAGATAGAGCAAAATCAGTGGCACCGACACGCCCAGCAGAGGCAGTGCGAAGGCTTCACCCGCGCAGGCCAGCCGCCAATGGTCTGATATGTTGTCGTGCATGAGGAGAAAGGCGGGCAGTGGCAACAGGTGGGTGTAGTACAGGGCTTCGCGGGCACATTTGCCATGTCGCCGATAGAGCAGCTCCTGGGTGATGCCCATGTACGAGGAGACGAAGAGGGCCAGCACCAGCAGCATTACACCCACGAGCCAACGCCATACGTCTGCCTCCGTGGCGCTGTGGACGGGCAAATCCCGACTGGAGAAGTACGTGCAAATGAAGATACCCACGCTAATCATAATGACCGATATATACTGGCCCATCCGATACGTTTGCTTGAGTATTATGGTGCCCAAGCACATGTTGGATATGAGCGAGCCTCCACGTATGATCATATGCAGCGTCATGGACACATTGAACTCGAACACATAGTTATTGCACACACTCGTCAGAAAGAACATCGCCACCAGCAGAGCATAGTCCCGCAGGCTGATTTTCCTTTGAGCCAGTCCTAGCCGGGATGTAAAGATGAACCCTTCCAGGGCTATGAACGCGAACTGGGCCGCGGTGACGAGGTTCCCAATGCCCGGATCGAGTTTCACCAGCAGCTCCAGAAATACTACGCCGCTGCAGCAGCCTACAAGTACGCCGCCCATGGCCAGAACACACCGGCGACTTATTTGCATCTTTATGCTATCAACGCAAAACTAGGAATAAAATAAACCGGTGAATATAACACCATCAAGGTACCAGTTGGCCTTGACTCAGGGTTCTGGTTGATCTTGGTCATTATGATGAATTCGTTAAGCCAATAGGTTTCGACCAAAACAAAGGGCAACAGGTATCGATAGTCTACCATCTCTAGAACAGCTGACAGCGATAAGCGCCATTATGAAAATTGTAAGCAAAACAAAACAAAGTTAAATGTAATTCATTCACCTAGAAACAGTTAATCTTCTGAACGATGATAAGAAGAGCCATTTGTACTGAAACAGGGTGCATCCAGTCGAAGTGGAGTTCAAATCCATAGTCGTAGGTACATTTAGTCATGGAAATAAAAATTTCGTTTAATCACATTCGAAACAATTGCACCAATAGTCCACAGGGTGCTCGTACAAAAAGAAATACATATAGACATGATATGATATGTTGTACAATAATACAATAGATGAATTTTACATATGGGTATAGATTCGATTCGCGAAATCAGTTCCTGCTTTGCAGTAGTTCAATAATTTGATTCAATTTATCCGTTTGCTGAGCCTCAAACGCCTCCAATCTTTTCGTAACAAGTTGCTCCAGCTGCTCGAATTTCTTGTCTATGTGCTTCTGGAGGCTGGATAAATCTGAGGGAAAAACCTTAGCTGGCGCCTCGGCATGAGTGGCGCAGCCTTTTATCAGGGACATAAGCTCCGGCGGCGGTTTCTCGCCCTCACCCTCCTTCTTAGCTGTGGCTGGCGTTTCCGCCGGCGTGGTACAGCCCTTCATAAGGGACATAAACTGCTGCAACTTTTCGCTTTTCTCCTCTGGCTTAGCTTTGCCATCGCCAGTGCCACCTGTTTGGAGCAGCTCCTGGATTTTTTGTATGTCCACAGGCCGCGGCAGCTGTGTGGTAATGCCATTCGGATTCGGCGCCACATGCAGGATGGCTCCATAGACGCAGATTTCATTGGCCGATGTGAGCAATTTGAGATTTATATCTGCTATGCCGGAACGATCGATTTCCATATCATAGCGATACGGGCGTATAGACATATCGTCGTCATCTTCCTCGAGGCAAGTGCCATAGATTGTTTCGCAGTACTCCTGCAATGGCCCTATAAATAGTTCCACCTTGGGCGCGCTGCAGACGAGCGTAAGGGCGGCGATTTTTAAACGAGGAACTATTTGAAAACGCAGCTCACAGGGCGGTGGCGGCACATCGTTGTGGGAAAACAGGACAGCACGACTCTCATTGACAACGTCATCTAGGTCGGGTCTGTGGACAAAGGCATACAAAGAATACATGTAATGCTTGTAATAATTGTACATACATATATGTAAACCAGTTTTAGGGGCGTGAAATCCTTTGTCTTACTTGACAAAAACATCGTCATCGGACAGCAGTGTGGGCACCAGTTTGGAGAGCTCATTTCCAGCGGTTTGAGTCCAGCTGCAGCGGGCAGTCACCGGGACGGACATTATTTAATTATTGAACAACAAAAAAAAGCGTTGCACTGCAATCAAAACACAGCTAGAGATGACACAGTCGTTGATAACACACAACGTGGCTGCCAACTTGTTGCGCGAGATGAGCTGCCAACCCGCGAATTCCACCCACCCAAAATGCAACCAGGCGCCGTGTTTGACAAGTCTGACCTTGAGGGGGCCCCTTGTAGGTCATATTTGAGCAAACTTAAAGAAAAGCGACAGTGCTGTGTTATAAGCAGCCCCGAAAGGTATACACAATTTTCCGCAATCTCCTCCGAGCAGTTAATATGGGTGGAAAGTACAAGATTGTGATGGTCCGCCACGGCGAGTCCGAATGGAACCAAAAGAATCAGTTCTGCGGCTGGTACGATGCCAACCTCAGCGACAAGGGTAAGGGGATTGTAATTATGTTATCCAATAGGGCGCATACTTAATTTTCGTTGCTTGACAGGCAAGGAGGAGGCTCAGGCCGCTGGCAAGGCCGTGAAGGATGCTGGTCTGGAGTTCGATGTGGCCCACACTTCGGTGCTGACCCGCGCTCAGGTAACTCTGGCCAGCATTCTGCAGGCGAGCGGTCACAAGGAGATCCCCATCCAGAAGACCTGGCGTCTGAATGAGCGTCACTACGGTGGACTCACTGGTCTGAACAAGGCCGAGACTGCCGCCAAGTACGGTGAGGCACAGGTGCAGATCTGGCGTCGCAGCTTCGACACACCACCGCCACCAATGGAGCCGGGACACGCCTACTATGATAACATTGTGAAGGATCCCCGCTACGCCGATGGCCCCAAGCCCGAGGAGTTCCCCCAGTTCGAGTCGCTCAAACTGACCATTGAACGCACACTGCCATACTGGAACGATGTGATCATTCCCCAGATGAAGGAGGGCAAGCGCATCCTGATCGCAGCGCACGGCAACAGTCTGCGTGGCATCGTCAAGCATTTAGATAGTGAGTTTGGGGCATAGACCGAAACTTGAACGAGTAAAAAAACTCTGCCACTTATCTTTCCAGATCTCTCCGAGGACGCCATCATGGCTCTGAACTTGCCCACTGGCATACCGTTTGTCTATGAGCTGGACGAGAACTTCAAGCCGGTGGTGTCCATGCAGTTCCTCGGCGATGAGGAGACCGTCAAGAAGGCCATCGAGGCTGTCGCTGCCCAGGGCAAGGCCAAGTAAACCAAAAACCCAGAAGTAAACCACACAAATCCGGCTATATCAGACGATGATGCTCTGACAACGCTTTAGTTCTTCATGATAAGCATAATCGTTGTTGTTGTTCTCGTAGCAGTTAAAATGGTTCATCCCCACACTCTCCAGTTAATAAATAATTTATTATAACACACGCAGGCTCCGCTTCCGGATAGTTTATTGCCAGACACAGACATCATCACTTCTTCTTGCCCTTTTTGCCATCTTTCGCCAGCTCCAGTCCCAGTATACACTTGGGTGGCACTTTGTACGTTTCGGTGAGTAGCGTGTACACAAAGCGCACCTGGTTGCCCTGGATCTGCAGCTGCTCGAGCTTTTGGTGCGGCAACTTGACAATACTGGTGCTGGCAGCGGCACCCTGCTTGCACAGCTTTATGAATTCGGCCAGGATGATGCCGTAGGCCTCGATGTTGCTCACCAACGTCACCTTCTTGTTGCCCGATCGCGTGGCCAGCGACATTTGTATCATGGGCTTGCCACTCGTGTCCTTGCCGCTACACATCTGATATGAGTGCTCCATCTTGCTGGTTATCAGGGAGCAGACCTCGCTGAGTGTGCCCTCCCGATTGCCATACAGCTCCAGCAGCGTCTCATCCGGCCGCACCAGCTTGGTTTTCACATCCTGAAGTCCGTGCTTGGCCACATACTCGCGCACAATCTTCTTGACCTGCCCCACAGGGATACCCTCGCCGCGTTTGAAGTTCATTTTCGTGAAGAAGGCCGCCGTGACATCCGACACAATGTACATTTCCTTCAGCTCCGAGTGAAACAGGGGCGTCTCGGACGCCGCTCCGTTCGCTTCGTTTGCCTTCACGTCAGTGATGAAATTGACCAGCTCGGGATGCTCCAGGTCCACCGAAATAATCTTATCCACGCCCTTGCTCTCCTCTCGCACCACAATGAAGCCCTGGTCAACCATGTCGGCCAGGAAATTGGACAGCTTCTTGTAGCGCGTCTTCTTCAGATCGATCTGCTCGGTCGCCTCGGTCACCACATAGAGTCGGTAGAAGTTGCTGGTCAGCAGGGGCAGTGGCAATTTCTTGCCATTGTTTTTGAGTGCAGACAGAAAGGCGTTTCGCAGTATATACTCTTGTGACACTTCATTCGATTCCGCTGGCGGGGATGTGTCCGCCATGTGTCCAGTGTCTTCTTCCTCAGCCACAGACAATAAGGCGGTGCTGGATTCCAGCTCCTCTGCGTCCGTTGCCTGTGTCACGGATGCAAATGAGTCTGGTGCATCCGAAACCTCAGCCTTTGGTGTCTTTTTTCGTTCCGCCTCAGCGCCGAGCGCTGGAAAATCATCGGTGGACAGGGCTTTGGTCCGCACCAGAGGTATTTGTTGCACCAAACTGGGCTCATGGGCCCATAGTTTGTCGCCGAATAAATGCAACATTTTGACGGCCACGCCGTGGCCACCGGACATGTACAGGTCATCACTGGAACGGGCCAACTGTCCCACACCCACCGCAGACTTGTTGTTGGTTAGATTTACGGCCACTTCAACAAACAAAATGATAATAAAGATATTTGAAGGACTGCCTGGCCAATAACTCACTCAACTGCCCCTTCTTGTAGTGTCCGTACATGCTCAATCCAACGCCCAGGGGCACCACTCCCGGCAGCATCAGGTCCGCGCCATTGGTGAGTTTCGGTAGGACGCCCTCGTGGGTCGTGTAATAAGGCAAAATGTTGGGTATGATCCACATTGCATACAACGTGGGCACCAGCTGTCCGCCATCCAGCTCAAAGAACATGGGCTGCTTGTCCACGCAGTAGACCATGCTCTGGACACCGCCATGGGTGAGAATCTTTACTTGCGTGACAGCAGACTTGGCCGGTACCAGCTCATCCACCGAAACATTGGGAAAGGCCAGCACCAGGCGCTGTCGAAACTTCTTGCTCTCCGAACCCTTGAGGGCCGCACTGCTTTTCGGTCTGTATGGCTTTAGAAACATTTGTACTGTATTGCAATAAATGGGAAATAATTCAAAACCGAAATGCCACGGAATGCAATGGCAAGTGGACAGCCCCCATATCGGCCAGGTCACAATGGGAGCACAGCACACACTCACGAGGCGCGTTCACAGTAACCCTGCCCATTAGGCCCAGTGGAAAATTTGCTGTCCTTTTTTTTTTTGAAGGCATTTCCAATTTCTTCAGGTAGTAATTCTGAAGATAAAGACGCCATTTTATTTAACAAAACATATGTGGTAACAATTCCATGTACAGGACGACGCCTTTGTAATAGTAAATGTAATGCGTTAGATTCATAGAATTTGTACTTATATTTTTAGTAATTATATTATTACCCCTTTTGAAACAAACATTAACCACCCCGCGCAGCCTCTTCTGCTCTTCTCCTAGTCTGAGTCAGAGTCGGTATTGGAAGAGGCCTCGCCGCGGCGTTGTGTGGGCGGGTCATAGAAGTGCAAACTCTTGCGCCAAATCTTCACCAGGCCATCGAACGCGCGGCGGCTGTACTTTCCATATTTGTTCGGCGTGCGAGGATTCTCGCGCGAACGTGTTGCCTTTGGCACCATTTCATTGTACCGCTCGTAGGCGGCCGTGTTTTTGCCATAGTCGATTTGCTTTTGACGGCGCGACAAGACGGCGGGATCAGCCTCGGTGTACGACGAGGACGATGAAGTTGACGATGTATAGCTGTTGTGGCGCACGCGTTTCTCCTCCTTGTGGCCCTTGAAATTGCTTTGCTTGCTTTTAGGATTTGTATTTGCATTTGCATTAGGATTCGGATCGCCACTGGCCGATGACAAGCTGCTATTCGGGCTGTTGGAGCGACTGTTTTCGTTAGTCGGTGGCGTCTGCGAGTGGCGTCGTTTGTAGGGGGTCTTTAGTTTTTCCTCCTTAAGCAGACGATCAAACTTTACCTCATTTACATCATCCAGAAACTCGAACGCCATCCCACGGTCTACGCCGTCCACAAGCTCCAGCTTCACCTCCGTTGCTTCCATCTTCACACACACCGGGCCCTGGTCGGCATTGCTGCTGGCAGCGCTGCTGTTCAGCGATGTGGATGCCTAAAATGTTGCACATAATGTTGTTAGCCGTGCTCTCAGCCAATATCATATCACTGCGTCGTCATACCTCGTCACTATGTCCGAATTCGGCACGGACCTCCTTGGCCCAGCTCTGGCGAATGGGCTTCACATCTATCGAGATTGAGGACGCTGAGGAATTCAGGCTGCCGGAGCCCTTAACTGGTGTGTTGTCCACCGACATCAATTGATCTTCACAGAGCATGATTTAACTTAGTATTATATTGCGACAAACAAATTGACAAAAACTGTAATTGCAGCTGCGACGACGGATAATGTTTGTTTGTGCTGGCTGCGCGCGTTTTTTGTTGACATTTATCGAGAAAAAATACCGCCTGGCACTCAGTAATATACCGAAATATACCTTGTCACTATCAAAATATACCGTAAATATACTGACAGACACTACATGATGCGTTGATAATCCTCGACTTTGATATTCGATTTAATAGTACTCGCTAGTTAGAACTTAAACAACTAAAAATATAATTTTATCAGATAGATTAATATATTTTCTACAATCTCGATAATTTTAATGACTTCCATTTGTTGGATTACTTATGAAATACAGTTTAAACAAAGACTGATTTTCAGCGTGACCGCGATAACGATAAGTACCATCTGGCCAAAAAAGAAATACCATTAAATACCAATTCAGTTTCGAGAAATACCATTTAAATACCATACCATAAAAAAACCTGGGCAGTCCGACGATTAAACTAGACTTAACCCACTTAACACCCCTCTATTTAAAAAGTTGAGCATCCTTCGTTAAATCGCGGAAAATAATACTGTTTGTAAAGGCTCCTAGTAGCTCCATCTTCCTCTTTACTTACAAAAAAATATGACCGCAACATCTCTCACCTATAATGCGTAAAAGGGGAGGGCAAAGTCACCACATAAGCGCTTTATTCACCTGGGAAAATTTTGAAAAACAACCACGATCTGAGAGCGAAATGTCAGTATTTTTTGTGCGCTAAATGGAGTTTGGCGGTCATTTTGAAAAGTATATTATTGATTAAATAATATACCGTAAGTATACTGACGCTCAACTCAGGTAGACTTATCGTGTATCGCAACTCCTGTGTTGGACGAGTTGACCATCTCCAGAGGAGAGTGACCATATTTTCGGCAGGTATGAATTGACTTTGGCGGCTCATTTAAAAAATTTGAATTTTTATCCGTTATATCCGTTTTATATATAATCATATGCAAACATTTCAAACTCTGGGGTTCCCTTTGTGATATGTTCCACCAATTCGAAAACCGAAAATAAATAAGAAGAGCGCTTTGATTTATCAAACAATTTCGTTATAATTCATTAAATATTAAGTATAAATACGGAGTTAACTATATAAGTATTATATACACAATTACAATAAAATATTCAGTCACTATAATGCTTCCTTCTATATACAAATCAAATACGATATATGCGAGTGTAAATCCATTCATTTAAACTCGCTTCGGCGCACTTCAATAAATTATCCGATTCAATTTCATTATAATATACAATATAACAGTCGCCTACGGTCCACGGTCCACGGTTAGGGTTTAGTTTTGATGATTGATCTTTTCGTTGTTTGGATCTGTGCCGAGGATTGTCTACTTATAGCCTAGAATGTTGGTAAAAACAAAAAGTCAAGGACACTTCCATTTTGATTTTCGATTTATGTTTTCTTTTTGCTCTTTTCTTTGCTCCTGTTTTTATGATCTTTTTGTGGATGTGTGTGTGTGTGTGTGTGTGTGTGTGTGTGTGGGTGGGTGGTTAATAAATAGTATCGATCGATCGTTTATAATCATATTCAACATTGAAATACATTAATCATTAGATTAGGCATATACATAACTACAAAATATAATACAATTATCGCTTCCGCATCGGACGCATCGCATTGCAGCGGAATTCACAAGTTAGTCGTGGCGCCAGCTCCTCGGCAGCACGTAATCCTTCACCTTGTAGAGCGCATTGGCATACCAGTGGATGCCGTTCTGCTGCTCGGCCCGCGACACGCCCTCCGCCTGCGAGCTGCGCAGCTGCTCCTTGGCGGGCATCCACGACTGCAGCATGGCGAGGATGCGCATGGGGGCCAGGCCCCAGTGCGCCAGCGACTGGCTGTCGATCACCGCATAGCAGGAGGCGGCCACCGAATTCACCACAATGGTGCCCTCGCGTGTCAGTGGGGCCACCACGCCCTTGCTCCGCACACTGCCCACCCGAACGACCCGCTGGGGACGCAGCTCGCCCGTTCCCGGCTCCCGGACGAGCACATAGTCGAGCTCCTCGACGCGATCGGCGAATACGTAGTCCAGCTGCTGGCGCTCCGGCTGCCACACGCTGATCAGATGGGCGGGCGTCACAGTGAGCACCGCACCGCCGTCCGTGTGCAGCTCGACGAAGTTCTGCATTTGGTCCAGGTTGCGGTCCATGAAGAGGATGATCTCGCTGTAGACGGGCTGCCCGTTGGCGCCCATGCTCAGGACGCGGTCTCCGATGGAGAGCTCGCTGAGCGGCTTCGTCGCGCCACTCTCCAGCAGCGCAGTGCTCTCGGGCGTGAAGCAGCCATGCACATGGGAGCTGATCGAGGAGTCTGCAAGCAGAAGGAGAGCGAGGGAGATGGTTAGAGATGGTTATACAGTTATACAGCTATACTGTTATATGTCCAGTAGGGAGGGCAGCCAGGTAATGGCATTAGTTTGCTAATCTAATTTGGCGTTAAGCATCCAATTGCCAAGCCCAACAAGTCAAAAAGGTTTTCACAGATCCTTTGAATGGGCTGGGCCCAGAGTCCCCGCCCAGACCGAAACAATGGCCCAGAAAGGACTGCCTTTTGCGGCTTGCCCTTGCCAACCAACAAGCAGGCAACACACGAGACCAGATCCTAATGCGATCTGTTCGATCTGTTCGATCTGTTCGATCTAAAGATCTGCCAACAGTACGAGTAGAGATACCCGGCGGTATCAATAACAACACACACAACACAGCACACAAAAGGCAGCAGGAGAAGCAGTCGTGTGCAAAATTGTGATCTTGTTTTTCCCTACAAGATTAGCCGTGGGATCAGCCAACTCCGGGGCTCTCGCTCGAGCCAAAGCTGCTTACGGCCACCGCTTCGACTCGTAGCTGAGTTGAGCTGCCAAAAGGGATGCGATGCCAGGTAGAGAATTGTGTGTGTGTGTGGATTGTTTTCCCAGCCCCGGCCAACCTGTTCGCAATTACCAAACATGCGGCAACCCACCTAAACAATAAGAGTACTCCGATGCCGATGCCGACACCGCCACTGCTACATTAATCATCATTAATAGATATTGGGTTACAGGGTGCACAATCAGCCACAGCCCACCCAGTTGGCTCTCTTAGGGCAGCCATTTTAGAACTTTCTCCACCTTCAACTTCAACTCCAATTCCATTTTCATTTCCCCCTTTCGGGCGGCGGCTGGCTACATATTTCACACCCGAAGCGCCTCCTTCTCTGCTGTGGCCCTGCTCTGGCCCTGTTCTGCTCTGCTTGTAAAATTCAAATTAAAAATTCCAGACCAAAAGGCCGACCACTAACCGTGCGCTTTATTATAATGAGTGGCCATAAAGTGGCTTTGTAGTGGTTGTAGTGCTGTGGCTGCCGCTGCCGTTGCTGCAACCAAATTCCAATGAAAATTCACCTTCCCAGTTTTCCAAATTCCCATTGATGCATTCGGTAAACAGATCGACAGACAGACAGACAGACAGACAAACAGACAGACCGATCCACAAAAGTGTAGAAACAATAAAAATCGGATTAAATACATACTCGTGTATGGGCAGCGACCAGCCACCAGCCACCAGCGGTCTATAAAACCCATAATCGATGGGGTCCGGGAGCATAAGAACAGTAGACAAGAGCATGGGCCATAGGCCTCAGCCACAGCCACAGCAGATCCAAAACAGAGAAAACAAAACAAAGCAGGCCACAAGTAGGAAGCGGCAGTAGTAACAAGAAAAATTGGTGTGAAATCTACCTTTTACACTAAAGAGCTGCTTCGTTCTACCCGTAACAGAAAACCAAACCAAAACCAAACCGAAACCAAAAAAAAGAGCAGAGACACCGAAACGGAGGGAGGCAGGGAAACGAGAAAAATCTCAGGCGTCGCTTGTTGGTCCGTCGGTCGTCGTCATCGTCGTCGTCGGCGGTGAGTGGAAAGTGAAGAACTTGAAGGGTCATAAATTAATAAACCATTAAAGTGGTTAAAATTATCGTTATTTTATCTTTGTTGTGAAGACTAAACTGATAAATTATTACAAAACAGAGGACAGCCGCACCGCTCGCTCGACCACTTGTTGGCGGTGGCCTCTCTCCTCTCTCATGGCTTGGTGTGGCTGTATGGCTTTCTGGCTTGGTGACTGATCGTTTGGACAGCATTAACATGAACATGCCACAGCAACAACAGAAACAACAACAGCAACAGCACGCTTGGGGCCTTAATGCGCGCGCGCGACACATGCAACAACAACAACAACAACAACAACAAGGCAGCCAGGCCAGCAATGGGGAAAAAAGAAAGAAAAGAAAAAATTAGTGTCGACAAAAAGGTTTACAGCCATTACTCTTCGTCGCTGTGGCCCGCTGCTGTTTAGGCCACATACAAAAGACTTAGGCAACGAACACAGCCGAAGTGGAAGCCAAAGCCGAAGCAGAGAGAGACAGAGAGAGATTGAAGCTGAGGCCTAGAGCAGAGATTGAAGCTCAAGTCTAGGCCCAGGCTGTGCCAAAACTGTCATAAGCTCGTGGTTTATGTGCAGCGGCCTATCAGCAATCAATCGGCTCGTAATTTATTGATTGCTTGCACCGTCGAGGCGCAACACATGGTCAAAATGGGGCAGGGGGTTAGGTTAGTTAGGTGACGGTGACAGGACCACACACATGGCCTGCCATGGCCTGCCATGGCATAGCCTGCCCACAGCCTGTTGCTGTCCTGGCTGCCCTTTTGCCACTTGTTCGGCATTTGTCGTTTGTCGGCTGACCTTTTGATTTTGTGGAAAGACAAGACAAGGGAAGAGCTGGGCAGGGGAAGGACAGCAGGAACTGCTGAAGGACCAGGACCCCCGTAAGATGTGCTGTTCGGCGGCTCCTTTCATAAGCAATTAGAAGCAATGAGCAAGGACACTCTTGTAGGGCAGCGCCCTATGGTTTCCATTCCCATTCCTTTTCTGTTCTTTTCTTTCATCTTTATGAGCCGCCACCAAAGTCAAAATATTGTGACGCGACGACGCCTGGCGAGAAGAGGAGAGGAGGCGCTGGCTGCGTGTGTGGGAATGGGGCGTGGCGGCATCATGTAATTGTAGATGGAAATGTGTGTGGGAAAACGGAAACTTGAAAGGGAAAATCCCTCAAAAGCGAAGAGAGAGAGAGACACAGAGAGAGAAAGAAAGAAATGCGAAATGTAGGACTGCTGCTGCTGGAGGGGAGAGGGGTTAGGAGAGAAAAATCTTTGGCAAGAAAAACCTAATTGTCTTGGCCCGTTTTGGTTGGCTGGACGCGCCGCGCTAGCTCCGCAGCATTTTCTTCTCGGTCTTTGGGGCAGTTTCGTTATGTTTCGGGGAAAACTGGTTGCTGGCCATAATGGCAGCCCACACACACACACACACACACACATAAACCAGCTCTCTGCAGGCCAGCACCAGCTACCCCTCCCTCCGCACACACTTAACTGATGATGCCAACTTGGTGGCCACAGTCTCAGGTCGCCAGTTCCCCATTCCCAGTGCCCAGTCTCTTAGTCTTCAATTTTTTCAATTAGGTCCGCGCTCAGGTTTTTAGCTCGGCATTTAATTCATCTTTGCCTGCTGTCCGATGGCTCCGATGCTCGATGCTCGATGGTCGTTGGTTCCTCCTCGTTCATCGTTGTTGCCTGTTGCCTGTTGCCTGCTGCCTGCCTGATAAACGCTTTGGGTGTCGTATCATCAATTCGTTTAATTTGACAGGCGCAAACCTAAACATGTCAAAACAACAGCCAACAAGCACCGGCAACACAGCCACACAGCAACACAACAGCACAACAGCCCAATGCGGTTAGTCCGAGTTGCCGCCTCTCTTTAGACCCGATCCGAACCCATCCGATGCGATCCGAACCGAGTTTCGAGAGCGAGAGGAGAGGCAGAGTCGTCCCCCGTCCCCGTTTGACTTTGAGTACGAGTCCGGTTTTCGGACTTTGTTGCTTTGGCTGCTTCCCATTTTATTTTACTTCTTGCATACCCTAACCAAGCAGGGTACATGCAGCACTCAAATGTAGTAAAATCTGCAGCCAAAATGTCGTATCACTATACCCTATAACTGCCATATAAACAAAGCTTCGGAAGACCCAAAAATAGCTCCAATCGTTGGCGAAACTTTTGTTGTTTTCCAACCAAATTTTAGCAAAAGTTTTATTTCTGCCAACGATCCGTAAGGGTATTTAAGGCTTCGTATTCGACTTCCTTCGGCTTCCTTCCTGTCTTGTTTTCTTTGTGGGACTGAAGCTGAAGCTGGAGCTGGGACTGGAGCTGAAGCTGGGACTGAAGCTGAAGCTGGGACTGAAGCTGAAGCTGTGACTGGGTGCCATGGGGACTGGAGTGCAGCCGTGGCTAATTTGTTGGAGCGCAGTGCAGAATGAAACAAGAAATTTGCCAACGCCTGTCAGCTTAGCGATCGGCTGTAAGTTCAGCAAAAAGGGGCAAACATGCGAAATTACGCTTGTTAGTGTCACTTCTGGCTAACTGGGACCCCCACCCTCCAGCCCCCCTCCTACCATACTCACACCCCACATTAGCCCACCCAACACCCATCGACCATCGCCCATCGACCATCGCCCATCCTGGCCATTCACTTGACAGGGTAAGGAAGGAAAGGAAAGGAAAGCAAAAGGGTAAGGCATGGGGAAGGAAGTGCATCGCTTACCTGATTTGACGGAGCAGTAGATGTGACGCCGACTGACATAGGAGACCCAATCGAAGCCAGCCTCGACGGCCAGGCGGGCGAGCATGCCGTATCTGGAGGGCTCCCGATCGGAGGTGGCAATGGTGACGGCACGACCCTCGTAGTGCAGCGACTCCTGGCCATGCTGATGATCCTCGTCCCAGCTCTCGGTGACCAGCAGACGGACGCCCGGCCATTCGTTCATCACGGAGTAGGCCAGCACGTTCAGCTTCTCCTTGCAGCGCTGCAGCGAGTAAAAGAGAAGGAAATCAATTAAGTGCGGTACGAGGTATTGTTAATAATAAGACGCCATGTTTAATTCACGCACCACGCCGCCACAGAGCACAGCACAGAGCACAGAGCAGAGCGCAGAAAGAGAGGGCGAACCAGAGGGAGCGCAGAAAAAGAGACAGAGACGGATAGAGAGCAGAGAGAGCTGCGCGCATGTCTGTGCGTGTGTGCGATCGATCTCTCACGCACGCATGCGAGGCGAGGCGTGGCATGTCGGGTGGCGGTGGCGGTGGCGTTGGCGGGGCGTTCATTCTGTCGGGGCCCAAAAAAGGGCCCAACGCGTTCATTTTGTAACCCAACCAGAGGAGGAGATACTCGTCGATACACGTCCGAGGAATATTTATGCCGATTTCTATTTATTTTATCATCATGGTCTACGGGCCTTGCGCATCCTTTGAACCTGTTGCTGCAACCTCAACAAACAAACACACACACACAGTGCCAGCGAGCAGTGTTTGCCCAATTCAGTTCCCTTGCCTTGCCTGGCCCAAACCCAAAGGCTTATTTGCCCATGCTTACGCGCAGTTCAAACACTGACCCTTAACCTTAACTGCAGCCTGCAGCCCACGCCAGGCCCTTAGTCCATGGCTGGGCCATGGGTAAATATTCAAGATATATGCCGTAGACCTTTTCACTATTATTATTATTCACTATTATTATTATTCCCTTTATTTTGTTGTGTTCTCCCCCCCCTGTAGCTGTTGTGTTCTCTTTGTTCATCCTGTCGATAATATATGAAAATGCTTACGCTTTGTTTGCCAATGTGGTGGGTGCTCATTGCTCATTGCCCATTGCTCAACTCATCATCGCTTTTCCCTGCATTTCCCTGTCCACTGTTTTGTCGGCGCATTTTCATTTGATTTTTTAACACAGCTCGAAAATGAGTGGGGGCAAGCAAAAAAAGGATTCGTTTAAGTCCATGCAAATATTTGAAGAGAAGAAAACCCCGAAAGAAAAAAACCGAAACTGAGCAACGGAGAAAAGTATCTTTAAGATTGAGCACCAGCCACAAAAATCAATTATCAACGGACCCGGGACTCGGCTGCGACTGTCAGCCAGGCCAGTGACAGGATGTTGTGCTGGCTGTTGCCTTTTGTGTGCAAACACACAGAGCGGTTTTTGTTAGCCGGCGTAAAATCAATTTTCGACCAGATCGAGATCCTTTTTGCGAACAGCCAAGCCACAACCGAAATCGGTTTGTTGCCTTTTTTTTTGGTTTTGGTTTTGTTTTGTTTTGGGCTGGCTTATGTTTTGATTTCGTAGCCGTATCCGTATCGCATCGGTAGTTGTTGTATCTTCGGTTGTTTGGCTATTATTTGGCCAAAATACGAATATTTGAATTTGTCACACAGCAGCAGCAGCCGCAACAGCCACAGCAGCCGCAACAGCCACAAACTGTGGCAAATTGAGGTGGCACAACCGCATTCAGCGCATTCCAAGAAGAGTTCAATGATATTTGCTTGAACGGGGAACGGGGCAGGGGAACGGGACTGTGACTGTGACTGTCTCTGGGGGTCTGCTGAAACTTTGCTTTATTAAAAGGCTTAACCAGTCGAGAGGGGCTCTGCTCTGTGCTGTGTGGCCTGGTAGACTGTGCTAATGAGCACAAAAGCGTAACGTAACGCCAAAAAGCAAACAAGACAGACAGAGAGAGAGGAGGTGGAAAGAGAGGGGGGTCGGCAGAGCAAACGCTTTTGTCTTAAGCATCGACAACGATGTTTGCCCAACATGCTAATGCATTGAGTCTGAATTCGAATCGACGCGCAATGAACAAACAGCGCGCCAGAGAGATCTCAGATCTCCCGATGCCCGATGCCAGTGATCGGCCTGGCCTGGCCTGGCCTGGGATCTACCGATCCCCCCAGTGAATGCCGACCGACGGGTGCGTAAGGTAAACATTTACCCACTGAATCGCCTGGGCCGCCGTTGCCTTAGTCTTCTGGCGGCGGCGTCGGTGGCGGCGGCGGCCCAAAAAGATGGCTAAATAATGTGTGTGCATTGTAAGTGGCCGTTAGACAACAGCGTCAAGTGTAAATAGGCCTATGCAGGGGTTATATGCACAAGCCCAATACGTATGTATATCCCTACCCTGCCCCTCAGCCTACTCCTGAAAGCTGCATTAATTAGACATCCAACAAGGTGTGAACTTTGCTCAGTGCTCCGTTCCTCAGTGGGGGCCCAGGGACACGCCCTGCATTCGACTTTGGTTGGCTCTCTTTGGCGTGTCTTCAGTTTTTGGGTCTACGAGTCTTTGGGGTCTTGTATGTACGTACATATAACCCAGTCGAGTGAGTTTCTTGGGTGTTTCTTTGGGTGTTGTGATGTGTTCAAGCTATCCGCTTGATGCGTTTTTAATTGACTGGCTGACTGCAGTTTTATTGATTTAAATTGTCTGGCTGGCTGCCAATTTGACGCTTTTAATGGTCTGGCAAAATTATTATGGCACGAAGATTATTAGGCACTCATCATCATTAGGCCAAGTCAACGCTGCGCTGCGCTGCGCACCGGCTATTAGCCCGGGCAGCCAATTCCTTTGTTTGTTTTGTGCTGCCAAACTCCTGCTGGCCCCCATCCACTGGGGGTCCACTGGGTACTGGAGCCCGTTTCGGATTACTTGTGGCCCCGGGAAACCGATTAGGAAACGACACAATTTAACGACATAATTCAAGTGCGCATTAAGTTACGTTACGGTAGAGGAGAGAAGGCCAAAGGAGTGGCCAAGGAGTCGCTGTGTGTGTCACCCCTTTTTTTTTGCATGGCTTTCGATGCAGATGCAGGGCACGTTGCACGTGCTCTATGGTGTAAGCAGATATGGCATATCCTTTGATTTCTGCCTTCTCCTTGTGCACTGATTGCGATCGCAAAAAGGAAGCGCAAAGGAAGCGAAAACTTACAACTGAGGAAGCGGCAAGCAGCCAACGACACAGGATATAATCAAAAGAGCACAAAAAAAAAAAAACCGAGTATACCCAAGAAATCACGTCACCCACTCGATGCACTACTATACACATGCATATGTGTGTCAACAGCTCCCCCTGCCAGAGTACCCGTTGAAGGGGAGTTTGGGGATGGGATGGGATGGGATGTCAGCGACTGTGGATGAACAACTGCTTTGGCCACTTGAGCGACCCTGTGGCCCGGGTGTTAGCCACTTAGGAGGCAAAAACTTAAAGAGTTTCTCCTTCTCTCACTCTCCTGTCAGTCAGCGCCCCGCGCTGTGTGGCCCGCACAGCTCGAGCACAGATTTCCTCACTTAATTGGCAAACTGTGCGCCACCAAGGAGGTGGAGCAGCAGCAGGAGGAGCAGGAGTAGGGAAGGTGGTCTCCTCTGATTGATTCAAGTGCAGGGCCAATGCCAATACGCCGTCGCTCCATTATCCATTATCCAGTATTCATTTTCCATTATCCATTTTCTGTTTCTGTTTATTTGTGTTGCAAATCTATTCACAGCTCCAATGCTGCCGCCATAAATCGCCATCGGATCGGCGTTCTTTGATTGTTTATGCGGATGGCAGCGCAATTATTACAGCGCGCAGAAAAATCGAAAACACACAATTGAGAAAAATCTCAGAAGCGAAAAACTGAAGTTTTAATTAATCAGAAAATGGAACTGAACTGGGCAGTAATTTATTTATTGTTTACGTATACGTAATCCCCCCCCCCCACACACCCGCCATCAGCAGTCTGGAATCTGGGTATCTGCTTCACGCTCCTGTCTGTCTGTCTGTCTGTCTGTCTGTTTGTTTGCCTTTTTTTGGGCTGTCAATATAAATGGGGAATGATTAAAGAATACGAGGGTGAGGTGGGGGCTGGGGAGCCTTTTTTGCATTGGCTTATTGGATTAATGTGGCAGCGCTTCTGTGGCCAGACTGTGGCCACTGCGAATTCTCAATCAATGACATGACTGCTCTCTGCCGCTTAATCATTAGGAAATGCATCTCAGAATTGCATAGGGTTGGGGTTTGGGTTGGTGTTGGGCTTAGGGTTTTCCCCGCCACACACACACACACACACACAGAAACATTATTGAGGCGCTCGTAAATCTCATGTCAAGTAAATGTCCATAAAAGCAAAAGGCGTCATTTTATTGTTATTAATTAAATGCTATTAATTTGCAGAAATCGTAAATTAAATCTCAGTTGAGGCCTATACCCCGCCACCGCCACCGCCACCTGCCTCATGCCATGCCACATTTAATGTCCCCCACACACAGAGAGAGTGGTAGAGGGGAAGACCAGGGAGAGGATCAGCAAAAAGTCATTTGGAGGCAGCAGCAGCGGCGGCAGGGCAGCGGCAGGTAAGAGCCCGGGACTTGGGTCTTAAATGATAAGCGCCATAATCCCTGATGTGTGATTAACTTTGATGATGAGTTATGAGCCGCACATTGGCACTGATGGGAGGATGGGTGGATGGTCGGGGGGTATGTGGATACCCCGACCCAGTGCCCCTCTGCCACATAACATATACATGACTGGCAAGAATCGGGAGAGACAGACGAGAGACCCAGAGCAGCATGTGAAATGTGAGTCACTCTCGCGTCAGTAATGTGATAGCCGCGACGCGACGCGATCGCTGATCGTCGACTCCAGCCAGAGATCTTCACCAGATCTCCAACTCCAACGCCAGCTCCATCTCCAGCATCGACTTTATCCCATTCTCCGCCAGGCAAGTTCATAAAAGTTTTATGCAAATAAAGCAAAAGCTAAGACCAAAACGTGAGAGGCAGCAAAGCTCCAGCCGGGGCCAAAGCAAATATCGATGGCATTTTTTGTTTTGTGTTTTTGGGGGCCAAGCAAATCCTTGAACATTTGCGCTTGAGTGCCCTCGTAAAAGTATCAAATTGATTAATAATAATATAAAAGCCACACAGCATCAGGAAAGCAAATGCAAACACTCCAGCAGAGGAGGGACACACAGCCAGCCAGCCAACAGCCAGCCAGCAGCCAGCAGCAGTGTCTCTTAGGGACAGACTACAGATCAGAGCAGAGAGATCAGAGATCAGATCAGCAGCAGGGCATTTGGCAATTTGTCCACTTTTAGCCTTGTGACTGATGTTTGTTTGATAAGTTTGATTACTTTATGGGGATGGAGTGTAGGAATGTTCCCACGAAATATGCTAAAATTTTGTGCTTATCGCAGCATTTGACGTGATTTGATTTGAGTTGAGTTGAATATGGAAACTGAGACTCTGACATCATCGATGTCTCCCGCTCTTTCTGTAGCTCCCTCTCCTACTCTGCTTTTTATTTTTGGTCATAATAGGATCAATTTTTGAGTCATAATGTTCTATTAAAATGCCTTAGCTGTGGGCTTACTTTGATTTGATTTGAGTTGAGTTGATTTGATGTTGATGTTGATGTGCATGTCGTCTGGAGGCATAACTGGGGGGGGGGGGGGTGGGGGGTACGGACTGGCAGACTGGCAGACTGGGCTGCATGCATGTCAATAATCATATCGGATTACCCGTTGGCTTTGCCCTCAGGCCCCATTGTTGCTACAATTTATGAAATTTTAGAACTTATGCTGCGGCTTTTGACGCATTCTTTTGTCTGTCGCTTGCCCCTGATGGCGGTCTGGCGGTCTGCTCTGCTCTGCTGTCTCTCCCTGCGGTTACTGCTGCTCCTCTAATCCTGAGGCATGCCACATACACACTGAACACATTACCTGTAATTACCAACAGGGGAAACAACTGGAGAAATATGTCTGATGGAAGGGGGCAGTCAGTGACTTGTCGTAAGTTGAGAGCTGTTTATTGGCTGCTGTTTTGCCAGATACTATTTGGCCCGTTGTTTCTTATTTTATTTTTAGTACTTTACGGCAATTTGTGAATTTTTGTAATTTGTTTATGCAACTGTACACACCCACACCTACACACACACACACACAGACACACCATGGGCATAGGCAGCCTTCTCTTTGCCCGGGGCCCTGCACTGTGCAAATGGCCAAAACGAAACGAATTGTTCGCCAACTGAAATTCACGCACAGCCGGATCGGTTCGTATATATATATATTTCGTTTATGTTCGAATGCGAGTACGATGCCGAGAGTATTATCCAAATCGGAATCCGCAGCCGTGCCACATAAAATACAATTTAGTTGCGCTGCTGGTTGCAGTCACCCTGTGCCCCTCTCCGCTCTCTCTCTCTCTCTCTCTCTGTTTGCTTGTCTCTTTGACCAATTCTCAATGTCAGCCAAGAGAGTGTTTCGGTAGCAGAGAGCGGAACGGTGGCCGTGTTGTAAATATTTGCCCTGCCACAACGGGATGGATTTTATGTGCTGCGCTGTGCTGTGCTGTGTCCAGTGTTCTCGGTGTCCTTGGTGTCCTTGGCCATTCAGTCAAATGCTGTGCCTGGCCTTGGCCCATCTGTGGCGTGTCCTTGACTGCCGTTGCGACAATCGTCGACGGTGTCACGGGGTCGGGTCGCTGCCTCCGTGGCTGCCGTGCAATGCAACTGTTAATTGTTTCTCAGCTCCGTTCTCGGGCTACGCTTTTCAATACTTTTTGGGCCCCGGCTGCCTATCAAATTCAAGGTAAGACCAGCAACTGTTTTCGGCCCGGTTTTAATGGCCTGTTCCCCCCCCCCCGAGGGGCGCGTGGCAGTATGGCAGTGTGGCATAAGTATTCGCAACTGTTTGGGTTAAAGTACAGTGTGCATCCGCTTGAGTAGAACCACTCAGGAAGTCCTGAAGTGTCTGGGGCTATGGCTGTGGCTATTTCTGGAGCCATAAGGCCAGCCCCATTTTAGTATTATTATTATATTATGTGCAATAATTATCAAATGAGTCCTAAATCAACTGTTTTGGCAGCAACGATTCCTGGTAATCATATAATCTATATGCCATATAACGATAAGTGCCAGTGCTGTTTGTTTGCTGCTTGTTTGCTCTCAGATCGTGGCCAAAGGAAACTGGAAGTCTCCCATAAACCGTTAATAGCCCCACCCCCCTTATAGAGCTTATCAATGGGAATATTGTAAATGTTTTTTTGTATTTTTAAACCCAGCCAGCACTTAAAAGTTGATTAAAATAACACAAAATTCTAGCGATAAGCGTTTGGTCGGTACCTGGGGAAGTGTGCCAATGCCAGAGGGGGGCGGTGGCAGGGCAGTCTGTGGCTTTTACATTAATTTAGATTAATGCTGAAGCAGAACAACTGTCTGCTAATTAGAACTGCTGTCGCCTTAATTGCTGGCGCTTACCTAAACCCATTTTACACTTTCAAACATAAATGAAAAAAAACAGCCGAAGCAGCCACTGAGTCACCCCAGCCCCCTACTGCTGCCCCATCCATCGTCCCAATACGTGACTGATAAGGTAATTGGCGAACCCGAAAGTTATGTGCCTTATGTGCAGACATACCCTCGAAGAGTAAATCTGATTTATGGCAAACGTTTCGCAATGAAGAGCAATAGGGATTAAAACTTTAAAGTGCGCTTTAAATTATTTGTAATTAAAAATATAATTTTGATGGCAAAAATGTTTCATTTGTAATCATTTGCATCCTCAATTCAACTTGTGGATTATTTTATGCGTTATTTGTAATGCCATTAATGGCATGACGTCAGTGGCTGAATCATCAGCACTAACCATAAAAAATACTTGAGACAAAGGGCATATAGGCGTATAATCTGGAACCTAGATTAGACCTAAACTTACTTTGGATCAGTTTTCGTTTAACTATGCCCTCCCTCATACTATGGGAATGATGGGTTGTAAAATACAACGTAATATACAGTCAGCAGCATTAGGTCTTAAAATAAATCCTTGCGGTGAGTCCTTTGCGCTTGTGAATATAATTAAAGGAAGAATAAAATGTTTATGTTACATTTAATGAGAGTAACAATTGCTCGGCCAGGGTAACTCTGCCTGTCTATCCCCACTCTTTTTTTTTTTTTCCTCATTTGCAGATATGGAACAAGCCACTCGCACTGGCACTCGAGCCCGTGTGTGGCTACATATGTTTGCAAATAACCGTACACGAAACGAGCGTGTCTGTGGGTGTGTCTGTGTGTGTGTTAACTGCTACAAGCTACTTGGCACTCGGCTGCAGTTTGCTCCCAGGTGAGACTCTTATCAGACAAACGCCACGCCGCAGATAAGGCGGCTAATGATCGCGTGCCTCTGCTGGGGAGGCGGGCTGCGACAGTTTGGAGCGCTGCCTCGGAATCAGCGAACCGAAGCCCTCGCACCCCCGCCCCCACCGCCCCGCACGTTAATCGATCATATTCGACATTGTTTGTTGTTGTTTATTGCGAAATTGAAAACGCATTCGTATCCGCAACTCACAATGTTGTTCTGTATGATGATTGGCGGCGGCGAGCGGATCCATTGGCGGATCGCCGTTGCTGAGGTTGTTGAACGCACTCTACTCCACTCCATTGTTTGTTTGTTTAGATTCGCATCGGGCCTAGGGGAAATGCTGGCTTTATGGCTTTGTTCTGGCGAATTCCTTGGCTATCTGGCTTTGCCTTGGCTTTCGAGTATCGCTCTTCCTGTTTTGGCACTCGCCTAATAATTGCACTTTTCCCCGATAACATGCATAATTAATCATAATTGACGATCCCCATTCCCATTCCCATTCCCATTCCAGTGCTAATATGAGTATTTCGCCACTATTTATGACCCGCACTCGCACTGGCACTCGCACTGTCATCTGATCGTATTGGCCCATAAATTATATACATAAATAGCCCAATGCGTCGATGAGTTGCAAGTTTCGGTCACACGTAGCGGTTATCAATGGGGGTGGGGCGGGGGTGTACAGAGGTACATGTAATCTAGCACGATCGGCCGATCGCTGATAAGTAGCGATCGATCGCGCGACAATGTTGCTACAAAGCTACGAGCAGTGCGCAATAGCCAGAGAATTAGCCTAGCCCCCAAAAACCGTCTTCAATGGAAACCCCCTGCCCCCCCAGGGACGTTCAATCGATCGATCAATGAAAGCTGCAGCTGCATGAATGAATGGATGAATGGACATGGGACGCTTACCTTTGTCATCAAGCGATCGGCGCCGGTGCCCTCCTCGTCCCGGAACAGAATATCCCGATTGTAGTTGGGTACAAGATCCTTGAATTTTGGTGAGTCGCGTTTGATCTCGCCCTCGAGCGGTCCGGAGGCGCCACTCTGGTATTCGGATAAATTTGGTATGGTTTGCTTGAGCACCAGCGGATAGAGATTGCGCTCCCGGCGACGTCCCAGACCGCGGCCGGGGCCGCAGCTGTGCGCCGGCGTAAAGCTCAGCGGCAGCAGCAGCAGCAGCACGGTCATCAGCATGGTCCATCTGCTGCTGCAACGCTGCGTATACGCAATGTGGCGCAGCTTTGTGCTGGCAGAGTCAGAGTCGCAGCTGCCGCTGGAGCTGGCGCTGGAGCCGGAGCCGGAGCCGGAGCTGGGACACGGTCTGTGGCATTTGGCATCGAGGGAAAGGCAGGTGACACTGGCGGCGCTGGCCCAAGGCACGGACATGTTGGACATTGGCACTGCGTCGTTATCCATTATTATTTGAACGATTTGATGCGTATTTTTTGTATTTGTGTTTGCTTTGATTTCTTTGCGTTGTAATCGGCTGTTTCTTTTCTTTTTCTTTTCTTTTTTTTTTGGTTATTTAGCACTTCACTTTTGGCACACTGAGACACACTCCGCGGACGGGGCTGCTGGCTTTTGCTTTTATCGGCTGGGGGCACTCAGATTGGGGCTCAGATTCGCTTGGGTGTCCCGGGGATTTGCCCAATTTGCACAACCTGGTTATCTGGGTAATCTGGGAATTTGGTAGTTTCTCAAGTCGGTCGTGAGTCGAGTGAGTGTTAACTGTTTAGCAGTGTTAGCCGTGTTAGCAGTGTTTTGGCATTAACAGCGGCTGGCAGCTCTCTCTCGGACAACCGTTGCGCTCGCACTGTGATTGACAAATGACATTTCCGAGCGCACGAAGAGCCAGCGTACGAGCAAGCGAGCGAGCAGGCGAGCAATCGAGCGAGCAGGCGAGCGGTTATATCGGAGTGCGCGTAGAGTACGAGTACGAGGTACGAGCTACGAGCTACGAGCTACGAGGGTGCTTTCAAGAACCCTAGGCCTGGCCGGGGCCGCAGTCGCCTCAGTCGCCTCTGTCGCAGCGGTGTTCATTCCGTTTTGTGGCTGTGTTGGTGGCTCGCTTCATTGGTAACCCACACGATCGTGTCTCTCTCTGGTGTTCATTTTTATGCTGCCTCTGCCGCGGCACAAGTGCAAGCGAGACAACCACAGACAGCACAGCACACACACAGCTACGGGCGCTGCTTATGTATGGGTGATATGTTTTCGGGTGTCTTATGTACTCTGCCCGCTAGAGGGGGGGGCATCTGCAAACAGATGTTGGATGGCTGATGATGGTTCATTGTGGCCATGGCACTATGGGAAATTTGACCCCTTTTTCTGGCCAAAACCCATTTTCTGAAAGTCGGAATATTAAAACAAATTTTAGTGCAACGCATTCACAATACTTCAATCTTTAGTGTTGCATCACAGAAATCTTGTTAGAGGGCGCCACATCGAAGGAATCAGCTGATAAACACAGCTGTTTCATTTGCAAAGCACATGCTTCTGCAAGATTAGGTTTTTTTTGCTAACTTCAAGTGGCCAAAAAACAAAAACCAAACAATATTACTCAAATTTTTCAAATGAATTCTAATTAGTGTGGTTTTTATTATGTGTTTGTGAACTTCTCATGTAGGCTGGGCTCTTACTCTGTCCCCTTAACAAGGAGCCAAAATATAAGTCGTCTTTTTTTTTATTTTTTATAAAGTCTTATCTTGCAAAAGGGATTTAAAGTGAGTCCAGCAGAGTCCGTCAACAAGATGTATTTTATGTTGTTGAGTATTAAATTCTTGTTCAAATGAATGTAATTAAAAATAACACTTTTTACGATTTTGCGAGAAATTTCAATTTTTAGGACATAACCTCAATTTGGCAAACTCAGATTTTTTTGTCAAGTGGTACGAATCAAGGGGAAAAGTCGCAAAGGAGGATGCTGTGTTGATAAGAAAGAGGTTCTTTAGCGAAAAGATGAAGTCCAAGGCCTATTTTGGGAACACCTTTCGTTTAAAGTTGATCAACCGAAAGTTGGAGGATTTGGCAGTACCAACGATAGTAACAGGGCGCGGCGGCATTTTCCGATCCTCATGCTTTTTCCAACATCACTGGTATCGATGAGCAGCTAAGCAAATTAACATACGATTTTTATATGCCTTTCATGCCAGCTGCCAATTTCTGTTCCAAAATTTCAAGCTGTTTGTTATCGTACTGCCGAGATAATCATTGATAAATACCCTTGGCTGCCAATGACCACAAGTGTTCATACAATTTTAATTCAAGCAAGGGATATCATTGAAAATTCTGTGCTTCCTTCGGGATATTTCGGAGAAGAAGGAGCTGAATCTCGAAATAAATTTAACAAATCTGTTCGTCTGATCATGCCAGAAAATGCGGTAGGATTGAAATCCTAACAGACGTGTTTCTGCGAGCTATAGATCCTTCTGATCCGATAATTTCTTCAGTGAATTTGGATAGACGTATTCAGCGAGAGAGGAGAATGTGTCTTCCATTAGAGGTTCTAAGCCTATTAGAATGCTCATCAAATCCGGATGATACGGATCGTGAGGATGAAAGCCCTTTTAATGAATTAGACTTAGAACATCAATACAATATTGAATTGGGAAAGAGCAGGTCTTTTTTTAGGGGGGGTGTGTAAGAAAAATATATTTCTTACAGAACATTATTAATTGTCTTTCATTACAGGGCTACAAGATGGATCCGCTCTATATTACTTTCTTCCTTAAAACTTTTCCCCTTGTTAAAGGCGTGCCACGCCCACTATTGTCCAATAATTATAACCTAATTCTGTCACAAAAATGGTTGTTACTTGTTAAAGTAGTTCTCCAAAAAAATGAGAAAATTTAAATGAGTTTAAAAAAAAAGGGGGCGGTGCCACGCCCTCTATTTTTATATTTTCAATAGATGTTGGTTTATTTAACCCGATGCAAAAAACAGAAGCGAAATATCTTGCTCCGTTCTTGAGTTATTAATTTTGGCCAGAAAAAGTGGTCAAATTTCCCATAGTGCATGGGTCTCTCTATTGTGTGTGTGTGCTGGTGTTGGTGTTGCCAATTGGCTGCATTGGTGTGTGTGTGTGTGTGTGTGCGTTATATGGCCAACAAACGGATCCAATACAGCCATGGCGCATCCTCTTCGGCTGCAATTTCTCTTAACACTTGCACTATTGACTCTCGACTCTCGACTGGCGACTCTTGTGGCTTGTTAGCTGCCGCCTCTGCTCTCAGCTCTCAGCTCTGTGCAGATCTGTGATCTGTGGGCTCTGTGATCTGTGGGCTCTGTGATCTGTGCTCTGAGCAGATCTGGGCCCTGACTCTGGTTTTGGCCTGGGCTCTTACTCCTGCTCGCTCTTCCACGCTGCCTGTTCTTCTTTTTTTTTTTTTTTTTTTTTTTTTTTTTTTTTCATTGTTCACATTTTTCCGTTGGCTTTCTTTCGTTTTGTTGTTCGTGTTTCGGTTTATTGCTTGTAAATTAATAATGTTCCGGTTTTTTGTGTATTGTGTGGCCCGCTGTCTTGGCCCTTGGCTCCTCTGGAATCATCTGGGCTCCTGCAGCAGCAGCAGCCAGCCACCTCTTCCTCGTACATACATATATATTTATGTACATATGTATATATGCATGTAGTTTTAATGCTGCTGCTCACTTTGTCATTACAGCATTTTGCTGGCAGGCAGCAACCACTTCCGTTTGCAGAAGTTTCTGGTTTTCGGTTTTGGCTTTGGCTTTGGCAGCAACTCAAATTAACTTCTACGCGTAGCTGCTCTCCTCCAGTTGGTGTCATCTCAATGACTCATTAAATGCCAACGCACGGAAGTTCGATTAGATATGGAGCACAGCACAGGATGTGTATCAGCTATCAATATACAATACAATACAATAAACACAATCCAATAAATTGCTGTGCAAATCGGTACATCTAATCGGTACAGGTTCCGTTTGACTAAACGTTATGCCCCCCTACTATATACATATGTATATATGTATGTACAGTTGATAGTTATGCCCCCTCATAATAGATTGGACAAACAGTAAATTATTTTTAAATACGATTTAATACACACGAACATTTTGCAAATTTGTTTGATTTTTCAACGGAAACGCCGTTTTAGTGGGCTCGACAAATGATCAGTAAATTTGCTATACGCTCGGGTCTCAGTCGCCAGATGTATCTTTGCATCTGTTGTTGATTTTCGCTAATTATACGCGGTATTCACAGCACACAGGGGTATATTGTGTTTAATCGAATTGCATTTAATTGAAGCAATTTTAGCCCACAAAGTGTGCATATTCCTGGTCAGCATCTGCACCCGTCAGCGCTACGGCATACACTTATTTTTTTTGACTGCAGATATTGTCTTTAAATCTGTGACACTTCTACTCTTAAATTTATTCCATTGAAATATTATTTGCAGTAGTTTTTAGTTGCTGAAATGCCCCCCAACCATGTAGCGGGTATCTTGAAGTCGAAATGGTCTCCCTTGAGCTGTGCTCTGGTCTGACTTTTGCTTTTATCTATTCTACTTTGTAGGGATTTCTCGCACCTTTTGAACTTGGGTCCGCAGACAACTATTCTCCCGCCCCCACCCTGGGGGATTTTTTTGCGGTTGCACTTGAGTGCTGCTGCTGCTGCTGCTGCTGCCGCTGCTGTTGACACTGTCACTTATAAGCGCGAACGGAGGAACACGCTTGCCCTATTTGTCCAAGGAATTGTCACCTGCCAGCAGAACAGCCTCCCACCCAGCTGATACGGCAGAACAAAGGGCAGCCAGGCACCCCCACCCGTGCATAGGTTGATGTTCAGATCGGATCCGATCTGATCAGTATCTCAAAGTGCACCTGTAACGGAACTTGATGGGCTGGCCGGCCCATGGGCAGCGATGTGGCGACGACCATTATGGGCCTGTCTACCCCATTTTGGGGCTAGCGGAGGAATGCAAGGCGTAGCATAATTTCAACAACCAAAGAAAAAAGCAACTAAAAGAAAAGAAAAGACAGAGAACGATAAAAGAAAAGAGAAGAAAAGAAAAGAAAAGAAAAGGAACAACATTCAATAGCAATGAACGCTTGGCAGCGGCAGCGGCAGCAAGCAGCAAGGCGGCAAAGATATAAGAGAAGGCAAAACGCCATCAACAAGATACACGGAACCAAATTAAAGATGAAGAAGCTGACTCCGAGGCGGGGGCTGTGCCCGGCCAGAGGCCAGCGGCCAGAGCAGAGGTGCCGCAGCCAAGCAGCAACAACCACAAAGAAGCTGGCAGTCTGCAGCCTGCTGTGTGTGTGTCTGAGTGTCTATGTGGCTGCCACATAAATTTCCAGCTTCTTTGTATTGCGGCAACTCATTATGTGGCATGGTGTGTGTGTGTGTGTGTGTGTGTGTGTGTGTGTGTGTGTGTATGTGTGTCTGTGTCTGTGTGTATCTGTGTGTATATGGGGCGGAGCTGCTTAAGGCGCTCATTTGTGAATGAACACACCGTGAACAACGGCAGAGACAACGACGAGCAGAGGAGTGGAGTGGAGTGGAGTGGAGAGGAGAGGAGACCGATCATCCCGGGGCCCAGACAACAATCGCTCCAGCACTTAATGAGCATGAATAAATGGCATCGACAGAGGAGGCCCAACACCAGCAACAGCAACAGCACCACCATCGATCCAAAACTCTCAGGAAAATAGACAGACAAAGAGAGAGCGAGACAGAGAGAGAGAGAACGAGAGGAAGCATCATAATCATGATCATATAGATCCGCGCTCTTTCGTAAATACAATAAAATACACCAAAAAGCAAAAAGCAAAAACAAAAAGCAAACAGAAACAAAAAACAAAAAAGATAAAATGCCAAAGATAAGTTTGTGTAATTAGATTTGGTCCAGGTGGGGCTCACAGCATTGATTTATGTGAATATTAATGGGACGACAGCAGCTCTTTAATGTGTACGTAAAACCGAAATTGAATTTTAATGGCAACCTGTAATGCTGCTGCGCCACCACCGCCACCGCCACCAGTAGACCAATAGAACCGGAAATGTCCAGACGATTCACTGGCCAACAACAAGCGGAATATAGCCAGTCAGGGATTCAGGGCCAGGCCAGGCCAGTCCAGGCCAGGCCAGCCAGCAGATCTGCCAAAGAGCAGATGAAACGCCATTTTCTGTGCCCTGTGCGCCATCCAGCGACTTCTTCGTCTGCGTCTTCGTCTCCATCTCCATCTTCGTCTGCTTTTAATTTCTTTTAATGGAAGTTGTTAACATGGCTGCTGCTTCTCTTCTCT